GTTGACAATGAATGTGCTATCAATGCCATTTGTTTTTTAAGTGCCGTCAACTGACACACACCTTGCTTACATATTTTTCTTCTCCACTCAGTCTTAGGAATATAAACGCTGCATCCATGAATCTTGACATACACTGCATCCATGAATCTTGACATAGGAACCAGTATTGCGCTGGTCGCAACTTGCACGGAAAAAAAAAATTAGAAAACTGTGCAAAAAAAAAAAAAAAAATTGCGTCATGGGATTTTGTTTTCCTACAATCTTGTAAATCCTAAATGCTGCTGTGTGCTCATTTCATAACACGTTTCTAGAACGCGCGAGTTCTTGAAGCTTGCTTCCATCGGAATGAGAAAAGAAAAGGCTGTGGATTTTGATAATAATGCATCCGGTTTCGTATAGGCACTTAGAAGCTAACATATTTGTGAGACAGTGAACTCTTCTATTTTAATATTTATCCTATTACGTCCTTCTGGCGTTGTGTTCGGTGAAGTGTTTTTCATATGCCGTATCTTGTTTAATGAAAACTTCTTTAAGGGTCTAATTTGAGTTACCGAAGGCTAGTTCAAATAAAGAAAGCTGTATTTTCTCCCCACTGTTCCTTCAATTGCTTACACGCTGAGGTGGCGGGATAGGTAGAGAGTTCTACTTGTTAGTGGGTTTGTAAGGAGGTCGCGGATTTTACAGCTACTGCGTCGGACCCAATTAAATGAAGTCCGAATCCGTAAACGTCGGTGAGGTAACCTTTGAGTGCACATAAAGAAACCATTCCTGGTAGAAATCCCTGAGCCTTACAGTACGATGTATCCCGTTTTGTATGTGCTGATTTCAGATGTTTTATTTGTAATTTATTTTGATGTTGCAATTTGTCATTTATAATTTCCGAACCGGTTCGCGAACCAGTTCAGCGCCCCGAACCGGTTCGCGGATCAAAATAATCGAACTGGAACTGAACTGGAACAAAATAAATTTACCTGAACCTGAACCGTAACCGAACCCGTATTTTTTTCGGTTCGACACACTGCATAAAATATCGGCATGGCCGCAAACAACGTTATGGGCAGGCTATGTATTGGCCACAGGGCGTGAAGTCCTCGGATCTTACTGCTAGGCGAGATTGCCACGTGTTGACACTACCAATCGACAACGCTCGCAACTACAATACCCTTGGCCGTGCTGGAACTATACTACAAAGTTCTCGGAGTGGCTCAGTGCCACTGATTCATTGGTGATGTGCTATAACTAACCTATTTTATCGCTAAACTAAGTGAAAAGGACATAACACGCCAACACAGCCCGGAGCGTGCTGAAACCGAAATCAACAACATTGAAGCCACCCAATGGCGGCGGATGTCAGTGCCCCCTATCCCTAGGTCAGGTAACTACTGAGATGAAAAGGTTTATAAATTTAGTTCTACATATTAGCTTTTATCTTTATCAACCACATAGCGTACCAGTTTGTAATTGCGTCTAAGTCTTCCTGTAAAATCCTGAGGACTTCTCATTGAAGGGCAGATGTTGCGACTGTCTGAAGAGAGGTGCGTTTAAGATTTGACGTTAGAATGAATACTATAATGAATTTAATGTACATGACTAAGAGCACTGAACGGAGTACTAAACCCTGCGGGACACCAGACGTTGCGAGGAAGGAGAGGTAAGACCTTTGCCGATTGCGACGGATTGATATCTTTAATCAGGAAGTTGTTAATCCATTTAGGAATGCCTGTAAAAAAGTTTAGTCAATTTATAACATGATTAAAGTGTCCCCAGAGCTCTTGAGGTCTAGAAAATATGCCTTAGTACAGATGAATTTTGTAAATAATACCATCTTTTTTTACAAAGACTAATGCAGGCAGTTAGTCATGTTAGACAGGTGCAGCCACCGTTCCCAAGACTATTTTTAAAAACCCACCAGTTTGAATTATAGGGCTCAAACCTACGTTGAAATTGAAACTACAGTTCTTCGGCTATCTACGAGATTGTGGAACGAAATTCTCCGCACCAAATTTAATTTCTTGACAGCACTTGGAAACCATCGATCACTGGTGATCGATGGCCAATGGGCGTGGTCAGGAAAGAGTTAAGACACCCCCACAAATCATCTTTAAAGTCAGTGAGCAATTGTGCAGAGAAAAATTAAGGTCTTTTTAGTTGTGCTAGTTGCATATGTTACAAAGTTATGTCTGTCAAACATACAGGGTGCGTTTTTAAGCTTTATAGATTTGTTCAAGAAGAGCCGTGAAAGCTACACTTCTGCGGTTTGTGCACATGAGTTATACGGTTAGGGGCACATAGTATAGGGGGTAATTGTAACAATCAGTCGGCTGATTAAGTAAAATTTGTTAATTAACTTTTTAGTTAGGAAAAATAGACATGGGGGGTTTCAATTAGAAACTTGCTGAGTGTCATTGAAAACCACTAAATCAACTTTTTTTTTTAGGATGTATGGCAGGGGCAGCATTTTACGGAGTGCATCGGAGTGCATCTCTGCGCCTACGGTCTTGCTCCCCAGTGGTTGAGACGCACAACACAGGTCTGCCCTACTTCCCTCCGTCCTATGAGGGAGGTGAGGGGGTGACTTTGTTGCACGACCACCGGGGAGCAAGACCACAGATGCAAGGATGCACTCTGCTAAGAAACCGAAATCTAGAAATACGTCCAAATAGAGCGCTTTTACGGAACGCCGTAAAATGCTGCCCCTGTCTTTTATCTTCCTAAAAAGAGTTGATTTGGTGGTTTTCGTTGATGCTTAGCAGGTTTCTGATTGGAAGCATATGTATATTTTTACAAATTAAAAAGTTTATTAACGAAGTATACTTGTAGCCGACTGATTGTTCTATTAACTCCTTATACTGTTTCTGTGGCCATATAACTCACCCGCACAAACTGAGTAAGTGCAGCTTCCGTGGCTTGTTGTAAACAAATTGGTAGAGCTTTAAAAAAAGCACCCCGTGTAAACATGCTTTGTGAGGGTTACTCTGCCTCAGGCAGTGAAAAAAATCTAGGAAATAATATATTAACGACTTTTGGGACAAGATTATTTTGTTTCTTTTGAAATTGTTTTACACCCTTTGTTATTTCGTGACCTACACTTTCAAGTACCATAAGAAACTGAGTGAGTATTCCCTTGAAATTTTATCAGCTAAATATGGGGTGGGCATTAGTTTCGAGAATGGAGAAGTAGAAGGGGCGCATAATAGACCTTTGGCCCTTGTTTGATCGAAAGAAATGGTATAGGAGCACTATAAGGTTCTAGCACAACCCCTAATTTTTAAAGCTTCACTGCTTTGCACCAGCTTGCACAGATAAACCTTCACTGGTTTGCACCAGAGAAATAGCTGATGTAAAGGAGTATCTTGGTTAGCTTGGTGGGCTCAGAAGTTTGCTGCGGTGGGGGCTCGATATGTTCTTCGCTTACATTTCAAATGTTTCATAAGTGGTGGGGTGAGTATTTACGTTACATGGGCACATGCTCAATATTTTAAGATAAGGGTTTTTTTTTAGCTTGGTTTTTTTTTTATATTGTCAATAGTTGTTAGAAGAGACTTGCTCTTGCTGTCTCTGCCAGAGCTTTAATGTGAATGTTTGTGTCACCACCATTAATCTTAATTCTGATGAAGTGGAGATAAAAAAAGGTAATGAGCAGTCATTTACTGGTTTGTGTGGCAACAGCAGTGAGTGAGCAAGTCATCTGATTCAGAACTGGAGCAGACGACTGAAGCTACTGAGAAGCACTATGGGGCAGCTTTCTCCAATACCTTCATGAGGGCTTCTTCCACAGAAGCATTGGGAATGTAATTCGAACCATTTGGAATTACAGCAATATTTTATGGAACATCACCTTAAGCTCTTTGTTTAGCAATTGATGGCCCTTGGGGCACCCTTGTTGCTTTTTTTTTTCTTTTTACATCTGCACGGTTCCTGTAGCATGTCCAATTGAGATTGATGGAACAGCATGCCCACTGACCTTTGCTGGATGTTGTCTAATATGCGAGTCCATCTAAATGGGTTTCTCCAATGGTTGGTGTAACGTAATTCAACACTTTATTGCTTTATCTGCTGCTCTTTCTTGACCATGGGAAGAATGGCTGTTTTTTATGACTTTTTGTTACTTTTGTTTTCCTGAAGAAACTATAAAGTTTACGTTTTATGTCATACATAGAAATTAAGCTAAATAACTGGGCTTTTCAGCGATGCAAACGTCAAAGCAAAGACTTGAATTCTAATGCAAAATAAATTTGTCAAACACAATTTTATTCTAAAAAAGATTGTCCAAACTGAGTAGATATGGCTGTATCTAAAAAAAAGTGCAAGAAAAGATGGAAATATACTAAATGTTTTTCAGTTTTAGAACAGAAAGCTCTGCAAAACCTAGAGTTCTTGCTCAAAAAGGTTTTCAGCTACCGAAAATGAAGTGAACCTCCATGACCTACATCCCTTTGGGCTAAGCATTTCTCAACGTGGTGAAAGACACGTCATCAGCACTGAAATATAATGAACTAACTGCGTCATCAGACCCATGCTGCTATCTGAATAAAAAGAATTGACCCAGGATTTGCAAGAATTGCCACGCTTTTGAGCACTTGCCGGACCCGGACTCTGCCGGACCCGGACTTGAGCACTTGCCGGACCCGGACAACGCACCATCGATTTGATGCTCGGCCTAAAAAATTGCTGCCTCGCGGAGAGAGAAAGTGAAATACAAGAACCAAAACTATAGTCTTTAAACTACCCATGCAGGAAGCACAGCAGGAATTTTAAAATAGGCCTACGGACCTTCTGGTCGGGGGTAATTGGTGGTCCATGAACGTGGTCAGGAGAATATTCATTGAAAAAAGAAAAAGCCCATGAAATTTTTCTTCTCTGTTTGATGTGTTTACCTCTTCTAGCTCTGGCATCTTTATAAAGTGCCTCTATTCTTTTTGTAATGGCGTTGTGAAGCTGCCTCAGTTTTAGGCGCAACCGAAGGAAGCAACGAGTAAAAGGGAATGTGCGAATTGCAGGAGCCGACACCTGTCAAGAGGCCTGCATCCTGCGAGGCTGCAACAGCCGCTGCGGAGGACGGTGCAGAGGCCGGCGAGGTTGCTAGGGAAGAGGTGAGCCCCATTTAGTCCCTCTGCCACGACGCCGTAGTCATTGACAAAATGAGGACGGCAGGTTGGGGCTTCAGTTGTCCTGGTGCAAGTGTCCTACCTTCGACAACGCTTCAGTGTCTCGCACACTCAAACGCGCAGCCAAAGCAGGACAGAAGGCTCAGAACGTGCGTTTGAGGTAATTGAAAGACTTGCTGTCTTCACTCTGGCAGTGACTATAGAAACATGGGACGGTATCTTCTGAATCGAATATGAAGTGAATAGTCGTGCCATTTGAATAACTTTAAATTGTGTAAAACAATCGGAAATATTGAGTCCAATGACCTCTACAAAATGGGAAGGCGGTTTTAGACAGATTCTCGAGTTGTAACTAACCTCAAAGTAGGCTTTTTTTACTTTACGATGCCCTTTAATACAACATTTTTAAGATAGGTGGTGTTCCAGTGTAAAGATTGCAGTTTTTTATAGTTCCTCAAGTGAGAGCTATGACTAGCAGTACTTGTGTTCCAAATATTTTACATTGCTCGACTTCCATTTGGGCTGAAGTTCTGTGGAGCATGCCTTTAATAGGCAGGTATACTGTGAATGCAGTTATCACCCACATGCTGATGTTATATCTTTTTAAAACCATGTCTACATGCAAACCTCCTTTGAGAAGCATAATTAAATGGCAGAAGTTTTGTTGTTTAAGTTATTTAAGCAAACAAGTGTGATCTTTTGAATATGAACGAAAGATTAAGTGTGGTACTCAGAAATCTATATTCAATGATTCTAGTGAATTATTGGCGACTCCAGCAAAATTGACACCCGCTACTTGGTTCTTGTAGGCAGCATAGAAGCAAACATTGTTTGTATGCTGCCGACGTCCTCCGCAGGGCCGTCGTAGCTGTTGACACGGTCCGTACGTAGCAGGATCTTTTTTTGATCGGAGCTTCTCGAAGTTGGCGAGAAGCGGCTCCGATCTAGCAGAGGAGGCTTACAGGGAAGCCTCGACTGCTTTCTCCAGGCTCGATAAACTTGTGCCTGTGATGGCGTGCATTATGTTTTTGTTTTTTAATGTCATTTGTATGAGTTCATATATAACGAAGAAGCGGATATAGCGAGGCAATTTCCGATTTCCGTTGACTTTGTTATAACCGGTCTCGACAGTATATGAATATATACCATTATGGCAACTAAATTCTGCCTTTGGTATAAGATCTAAAAATTCAGATTACTACAAGGGAACAATATATATCATAACTCTATATACCGTATTTACTCGCACAATGAACGCACTCGTGCAATGAACGCACCCCCCAGTCGGCTCTCAAAATTTCGACTTTTTTTTCACTCGCGTAATAAACGCACCCCCGACTCAGACGTCAAAAGTTTGACCCCCTCCCCCCACGCGCGCGAAATGAGCGCACTTTTCTATCCTGGCGCAGCGAGGTCGCGAATGCATGGGCAGCGTGGGCGAACAAACCGCCTTGCAAAAGGCGCTAAAAAAATTTGCGAAAATCCAACGGAAGCAAGAAAAAAAAAAAAAAAACATGGAGAGGAGCTTTTTTTTTTTTTGCACAGCGCAGTCTGGATTTTGGGTTCGCGTGCCGCCGTTGCGCGCAAGGAGGTAAGAAAGAGAAGCGGAGAAGGCTCTAAGCGAACGAAACAGCTTGCGAAAGGCGGAAAAAAAAAAACCAATACGGAACTAAGAGAAAACAAAAACAAAGCCGAGCCTTTTTTTTGCTTTTTTTTTTTGCACAGCGCAGTTTGGTTACCGGGGTCGCGCGCCGCGCGCAAGGAGGTAAGAAAGAGGAGCGGAGAAGCCCTCTAAGCAAACGAAACAGCTTGCGAAAGGCGGCAAAAAGAAAAAAAAGAAAACAGGGAACTGAAAAAAAAAAAAAAAAAGAAAAAGAGGAGCTTTTTTCTTCTTTTTTTTGCGCAGCGCTGTTCGGTTTTTTTTTTTGGGGGGGGGGGGGGGGGGGTCGTGGTCGTGCGCAAGGAGATAAGAAAGATAAGCGGAGAGCCTAGAGTGCCTTCATGTGCGCTTCGCGCACATGAAGGCTCCCTAGGAGAGCCCTGGCCTAAGCAACGCCTGAGCAAAAAAAGCTGCATGCAAAAGGCGCCAAAAAGAAAAAAAGAAAACCCCAAGGAACTAAGAAAAAAAAATACAAAGGAGTTTTTTTTTTTTTTTTGCACAGCTTAGTTTGGTTATTGGGTCGGGCGCTGCGCGCAAAGAGATAAGAAGTTACTTTCATTATGCGAGTAAATACGGACGCAAAAAATTTACTTTGCATAATGAACGCCCCCCCCCCCCCCCCCAACTTCGCATCGATTTTTCGGAAAAAAAAGTGTGTTCATTCTGCGAGTAAATACGGTATGTAAACTTTGCAGGCAGAAATTGGGGTTCCTTGGGTTTGCAAGAAATCAGTGTAACAGACTGTTCCAACAGGATAAATTCTGTTTTAACTTTCTTCCCCATCAGTGAGTATATGCAGTATTGTTTACAAGGTCTGAAGGCTTCTTCACTGCTTCATTGGATTAATGTCGAGGCCAGGGCGTGTTTCTCGGCTGCAGTGATGGAAGTGCTGCGCCATTTGCGCCAAATAGCGCCATGAACGAAAGTCTGCTGCATCTCGTGCCAAAGCGTCATTTTCGCTCTAAATTGTGCCATAACTGCACCAGGACAGGCTTGAAGCAAAATATAAAAATAATTTAATATTGGTCGGCCCTAATATTTAGAAAAGTAGAAGGGAAAAAAATGTTATGAATATATTTCACAGCGTCCATACTATATAATTTGTTTCTTCTTAGGTCTGAGCACATCGCAAGCTCGAACGAATACAACTTCAAACACACATACTAAAAGCGCGAGTCATGGGGCATTCACTGCACCCGATTGGTTTAGCCCATGAAAAAGCACGTACAGGGACAAGAATGCCGGGCTGTCGCAATTTTATGCTCTTTAATTGGTCCCAACGACCTGTAGAGTCTGCTGTAGTGTCGACTTCAGGTGAAACGAAGTATAGGGATTGTTTGTTAATCACTTTGGCTGGTTGATGCGCTGGTCAGTTGATCGTCGACATCGTCTAAATGGACCTTTTTCCAGTAAGGAGTGCCTCACGACGGTTTTGCCGCATACTACAAATGGAGGGCAACCGGACTCGCCTTCTCCCGTAGGAACAGATTAGCGTCGCAACAGAACAGTGCCCCCCAAGAATGGCGAAAGGGCGGTCAAGGTCAAGGGAAAGGGTGTGCGCGTGCGCAGACGCTTACTGGAAAAAGGTCCATTACCAGACGCTGTCTGCATGGTCAGGAACTAAAGGTCTCTTTGCAAAACAGTAGGATGGTGGTATACTGTGATAAGACTGAACCAGGATCTTGTGCTCCTGGTGAAATCACTCGATTATCACGTCTGCCACATGCCGTCGTGCCGTGACCGCAGAGTACCGTGGCATTTGCGCCGCTTCTGTAAACCTTCACTACATCTCACCACACATGAGCGTGCATGCGTCGGGCTTCACCGCTTTGCACCGGAGTGCTAGAAGCAGCGACTGACCCGTTGGAGGGTTAGCGCAATAGACACGGAATTCATTCTGAGGATTATTAAAGATAGACCTTCTTTGTCTTCATTGCAAATTAATCTCTAATAATAATTAAAAAAAAGGAAACAGCTGAAAAAAAGATTAAAAAAAAACAGACACAAAAAACACGGGTCTATTTTTGAGTAAATACGGTAGTTCTTCTGCAGCTGTCGAATGAACGAGCAGCAAACTTTGATTTAACTCTAGTTCCAACGCCACTGAAGAGCAGTGTCCCATTTAAAGAGAAATCATAGACTTTCATAATATTTGTCAGTGGTTGTTTTTGTGGTTTTTGATATTAGAGTTTTGAGTTTGGCAGGCTCATAAAACTTGGGGGACACGTTTTTGATTGGTGTAGCGGACATGCTGGTTTTTGCTGGCATTTTGCAGAAATTATATTTACGGGCCAATCAAACTACCAAGTGTAGAACGGGGATGAAAGCGAGGCTTTATCGCAACTGAAGGGTTCGGCCATGATCTATTTTTCAACCATTTTTAGTACCCGTTTTAAATGGACCCCGTTCTGAGAAGAGCCCTATTTAAAAAAAAAAGGCTATCTGTTCCCTTTGCATCCTGTTTATTTTTAGCACAAAATGTGATAAGTAATATGCTCCAGTGTCAGAGAGGAACTGGCATTCATTATCACTGACAGACTAATTTAGATATGCAGTCTATTTTTATTTTTTTTTATTTTCACCTGCTTCAGAAGCGTTAGCAGCTGCTTCATACCTGTATTTTGAATGCTGCAGAACCTGCTACAAAAGGTTCAAAGGCTGCTTCCATCACTGCAGCTGTCAAAATAGAAAGATAGGGGTTCCTAGAGATAAAAAGTTTGAGAGTCAGTTGACCAGACGAGTTACAACAAACAGAACTTGTAGCCAAAGTGTTGGCTACTCACAGAAGAGAACTGGGTTCGTTAAGGAGGAGCTTTGTTACACACGTGATCACTCCCATTCTCTTTTCTTGCACTTCCCCCTCTCTCACATATAGAGAATCTTCACTTTTCATGCCTTTCTAATCATGCTCAAAGTGACACGTTTTAGTCGATTTCCCCGCCGTATAGTTTTCAACATTCTGAACTCGTTGACAGGCTTCCTGCTTTTTCTACCAGCTCTGAGACGGCTGAGAACTTGCGTGTTCCTTGCTAGTGGAAGTGCCATAAGCTTTCGTTTGGGCATCTTTCTGCCACGAAGAGCTATAGGATGCAGCTCCAGACTGTGTCCAATGGCCAAATGCCTGAGGGAGGGGAATTGGGAATGAAATGACGGCTCTGCATTTGTCCTTTGCATTTCCAATCCCCAGCTACTGGTGGAAGAAGGGAAAGGTGTCGTTACAAGGTCAGAAATGGGGCCGAAATTCTGCTTGGGCGTCGAGCATCTCCTGTTAGGGGCATTGTCGGGTTGAGGCCTGCTGTGCAGACGCAGTCGCGTGCCGTGTGGCCTTCGCGCAGTCGTGCGCCTCATAACATTGAAAGCAAAGTGACATAGCTCTCACCAGAGATTCCAACTTCTTCATGCCAGTGCTGCGCGATTCCTAATGACTCGCCGCCCGTAAGCATGTCTATCGTCGCTTAGCAACAACACTTTTTTTTAGTCTGCATGAGTGATTGTGATTATGTTGTGGATTCGTCATTCATATTTGTGTTGGTGTCATTCAATTGTTTCTTTTTTCTTCCTATTTTGTACTGGTAGTATTTATCCTAGTTATGTGTATGTTTTATGACATCCCCCTCTATGCAATGCCCCCATCGAGTGCCTTTAGAGGTAATTAAATCAATCAATATAACAAATGTGCACCAATGAGGATGGTGTCTTGAGCACCTGTAATGCTGCGCATTTCACGACATGTATCAGAAAGGGGAGCGAACCTTCAACATGCTCCAGCAGCATTCAGACACTTCTCTACTTCTACCCTGCACCAGCCTACCTACATCCCGGTTTTGATAAATGTGGTCTAGTCAAAACGAAGGTCTTGTTCTTGTCCATAGCATTTTTGTCTTCAGTTGTGGGAACACTTCTGACTACCAAAGGAGCGAGTCACTCATTTTATCTTGTTTGTCCACGTCATGCTTGGTGGGACCAAGGACGAGGAATCAACTTCGGAAACGGACGAAGAACTCCAGGAACAGTGGAAGTGTCAGAGGGCACTGCTCGAAAAAGAGAAGGTGAGGGACGGTGCCTGTGTGTGGGCGATGGAACAGACACTCTTTAAGCTGTAGTCCCAAAGGGGACCTTTCAAACAAGGTGCTGTGTTTTAACAATCATGGGACTAAGCAGACTAACTGTGGCCTGGCTAACTTGTATGTGTGTGTGTGTGTGGGGGGGTTATTGACTCGATAACATCGTTTGATACAGTTTAGTACTTTTGAGTGGCAATGACCATAAAATGTAAATGTGCAAACTGCAGCATTCCACCGTATAGTTATATGGTTTTCTTCTTTTTCTTACGCAGTTCATGTTAAGATTAATTTTAATCTTAAAACTGTAGCAGCCAATGGAGTGGCTGCTGCAGACTACAGCCTTCGCTTCATGAGACTGGGATTTAGGTGCCATACGGCACGACTTCAAAAGCTGATAACGCCGGTTTGCTCCATAGAACAGTTAATGCTCTCGCATTAAAACTTCAGGGTGCTATGAGCACCACTGTCAACGTTCGCCAACGCTCCCATAGGTTTTTGGAGGAGTTTCCAGTATTGGCGAAGCTATGTTGTATTTATGCGAGTCTCGGTAAAACAGCACAAAGTAAAACGTCAGGCTACCTTTCTGCCAAATATGACTATGTTTTATGTAATTGGTAACTATAAAAAATGCCTCATAAGGACTAGCCTTTGGTTTATAATCAATAAACTTCATGGTGATCAAAACAGCGCACAAAAGACGAAAAAGACGCGGTTTTGTTCACCATGTCATCGCACCAACTCGCCCCAAATTACAGCACTTCTCCAATCAACTTTAAGTGCCCTTTTCTCACCAGTACTGATTTTATTGATTGTTTTCTGAAGTTTCTCTCTATTAATATTAACAAAAAGGTTCCATCTGAATTGGGAAGAGTCGAGCTGACAGTGGTGCTGTCTTTATAGTTTTCCTGAATAAGAGTTGCTTACAATTAATCGCGAGCCTATTATTTTGCTACGATTACAAGTGCTGTTTAGACGAATAATATTCTGAGAACAGATGGAAAGTAACTTTGCAGCACAGGTTACATTCTTGCGATTGCAGTTCTGTTCCGATTTCTTAAATCTTGCCAAGATATCTCCTCTAAAAACTTGTAACAGAAGGCCTAAGTAACCCTTTCAGTGCCATGCCAGAGTGTACTCGTACACACTTTCGTGTGGTTTGAGTTTCGGTTTGCTCCCTACCGTTCGCAACAGGGCTGTCCATTTTTTCTTTTACCTGCATGCAAAATATGAGCAAGTGCGAAAACAAAGCTTTACCTCATTGTGTCTATTTTTAGTGGCGTGTAAAAAATTGTGTTTAGGCAGCTTCTGTTTTGGTATGCTCCTTTGTTGCTAGAGATTGGCAAATCTACATCGTGGAACCTCGCACTTCGTGACAAACACTGAGATCTAGAAACTACCATAGAACTCGGTATTCGACGAGTGTGAAAACAAGAGTTCTAGTTCCGAATGAACAAAAGTCGACTAAGTCCACTCGAAAGAGTGACCTCGAGGCTTAAAGTCAAGATGCCACTCCATAATACTGTGACTCGAAAGGTACAATATGAGAAAGATGTCCTTGGTTGGAGGCGTGCGGACATTATTTAACATTTTGCCCATAGAACATTGTGTCTCTCTTAAATAAATACAGTCTACGCTCATTACAACAGACCTGGTTACAACAGACATTTGGATATAACATACCGATTTGTGAAGTTCAGTTGGTTTTCCTCTACATTCTATTGACTCAACTTCATATCTGCATACAACATATTCCTCTTACAACAGACCAAAATTTTGGTCAAAATCAAGGTCTGTTATAACGAGCTTAGAGTGTAGTTGCACGAAGTGTGCTGCAGTGTTACTGAGACTATAATTTACGTTCGACATGTGGGGAAAAAAAGACGGCACTTGAAGGTAATTTTGATTAATTTTCCGTAGCTGTGCTTCTAGTATAGATATTCAGTATCTGATTGCATATTTGGAATCTACATAAAGCGTAATGTTTCAGTGTGTGATACTGTAAACATAATTTATAAACGAGAGAATGGCTTTAACGACCCTCGTCGCTCCTTAAAGGGCAACTCCGCTCAATTCCGAAAAATTTAGGCTTCCATGTGATTCACATTCACAAAGCACTACTAAACAACTCTACGTCTTTGGATTCGCGAAATGTGGAATAATATTTGTGTAATCCTAATTTAAACATCAGCAGATACCAAAACCGAAACTTCGGTTGCGTCAGGCAACATCGGTCTCGGGTCGTCAGAGGCATGGCACGTCACGTCGAACCACGTGGTCTTGTGACGTTCGGGAGGGAGCGAGAAACAGGACACGCGACGCGGGCAGGTTTTTTTTTTTTTTTTTTATTGGACGCGGGCAGGTCGCTTTGCGTGGCGTGGACGGTGATGGCCTGGGGGAGAGGGGGAAGGAGAGAAGACGAAAGAGGAGAGGGAGAGCGGAGAAACAGACCGATAAGCGCGCAGGGCAGCGCAAAGTAGCGCATCCGTGTTACGGTGATCACGTGAACGCCCGGTCAGCCAACACCGGGAGGAGAAACTCATGACGTCATCGTTCAATTTCGCTCTGAGAAGTAAAAACAAGCAAAACGTGAGAATGACATATCATGCCTCTGACGTAGTGGCTCAACGTTGGCCGCTCTAACTCCGTGGCATTGACTGCGCTAAAGATTGCGCCTCGCGCCGCACGCTAGAGTTGGCAGATTTCGGCGACTTGGCTCGCTTGAAGGTTTGCTGGCCAGTTTATTAAATATATAAACGGAATTAGATCGTAATATTTGACGTGGTGTCTTCCTATATGATACTGAAGAGGGTTACATAGTTTTCTAAATATCAAAAATGAAGCGGAGTTGCCCTTTAAAAGGACGCTAAACTCCCCAAAAATATGTTTTAAATGCCATGATTGCAGACATACAAATTCAACACACATTGATTCAACAAAACACTACGAAATTCGGTAGCTTTACTGGAACATCATTATCGAAAACAAGGAAATGAAATGGTACGGTGATGAAATGGTTGTAGTATGCCATGCACATATTGAAGGCGATGTCAAGGACAGTGTCTAGGACGTCAAGGACAGCGTGAGGATGACCTCCAGGACGACTTCAAGGCCGATGTCTAGGACGACCTCTAACACGACGTCAAGGGTGACATCCTAGAGGACGATTTCAAGGACGTCTAAGACGACCTCTAGGATGACATTGAGGATGACGTTAAAGACAACCTCTAGGATGACCTCAAGGACAACCTCTAGGACGACGTCAAGGACGTCAGATCATGTCAGCTTCAGCTACCGGCACTTACAAGTTTACATGACTGACACTTATGGAAACGGAGCTTATGCAACTGGGGCTTACCTGACCTTGATTATGCGACCTTGAGCTTCAGCCACAGGTGTTACGTGACCTTGAAGACGTAACCTTGAGCGTGGTTAGGCCTATAAAGTTACCGCCTTTAAACATAGCACTACTTAAGGTGTGTTGCAAGACTCAGTTTGAATAAACAGTGATTCTAAAATGTGCTTGTTTTTTTGGCATGTCATCCCAGAATAGAAGCACGAAATAGAAACTTGTTTCAACACTCAAAACAAGTCTTAACCAAAATACTGCACAATATATTTTTTTTCTACGAAATTGTTTTTGTGACATGTGTTCTATGTAAGCACTTTTAAACTTAAGTTTATTTTATTTTTAAGGTAATTGCAGTGCTGAAGTTTGGCAACTGCTCAAGAGAATGCGGTTTCACGTTTGTGATGCACAGCTTGGTAATGCAGAATGCATTTGAACAGAAGTGAGAATGGCATGTGTAGGCAGACAGAAGCGACAGGGAATAGACGTAGCAGGACTCCACAGTGGGTCATTACGGTCACATAGCTAGTCTCACTATGGGTCACATGATGTCAGCACGCCATGTGGTGTCGCGCGACGTTGGGGCACCTGACGTTACTGGGCCACTACTCGAAGCACAATGTCGTGGTTTCAGTTACATAAGATCAAGTAATGTTGGGTGTTGGATTGTGGTGTAATGTGACACTTCACATGACCACGTAGCATTATGTCACAATATCACGTAATATCAGGACTTGACGCTATGATGTCTCGTGACCTGACATCACCTGACGCCGGGACCATGCACCCAGGTTCGCATATATGTCGCCAGTGCATTCTGCATCGGGCCGTTTGGGCTGTAGATTGAGAGAGCACCTTGATTCTATTTTTGGTTCTAGGGCAATCAATTGTTCAAGGAAGGCAGGTACGATGAAGCCATCGAAAGCTACGGAATCGGCATTGAGTGCGACCCCCGGAACCCCATGCTGTATGCCAACCGGGCCATGGCTTTCTTGCGGAAAAACATGTAAGCTCATTGTCCTGACATGACAATATCGATGTGAGCTGTATGACATATCAATGGAGAAAGAGTATAAGCAGACATTGGAATAGGCTATGTTGCAAATAGAAGAGGAACAGTGGTTGACATAGAATAGCATCGACAAAGGTTGGCCCTCGAATAATTCTGACTTTTAGGTTAAAACAAAGCTGGACATATTGAATGAAATCATCGAAAGGACCTCATCCAGACCGGGGTGTAAGCCACACTCGTTCCCACAGCATCGTTGCATTCACTTAAGCATGCAATGCTCAAAGTCTGTGAACCAAATTTGTTTCACAGCATCACCGCATTGACTTTAGCGGAAATATTTGCGATATGATGTCTGCAGTTGCTGACTTCAAACGGTATTGCACGTGCGTGTCGAAGTAGGCAACAGTGTTGTAAGATCGGATGTGTGTTGGGCTCTTTTGACGCCGTGCTTTTCAATGGCCGGAAGGTGACCACAAAGTTTGCAAAAAAGACAACGCAGATGGTTAATTTTTTCCAGTGCCTAATATTTTGATAAACCTTGCACTAGAAGCATGTTTCTAGCTCGGAATTGGGACTTGTTTATATTTTTTTTTACAGCACCGAAACTGCCAATGTGCCTACGCCAAAATAAACCCGAGAGTAGGAAAAATATTTACAAACAACGTCAACTGTACACAGCATCTCAAGCACAGCTATTGCTTTAATCCACAAAGTCACTTTGGTGTGGACATCAAACCACTTAGATGGTTACAAACCCCTCCTCGCAAGAATGTAACGAAAGAACCATCTTTTCCACTTTGTAGTTGCGAGTAAGGATCTTATGTTCTCACGTGACAAGGTCTTTGTACGATACCATGATGCAACGCTACTTCCTGCTCAATATATCGGCAGAATCTACGACAGTGATTCTGCTCTGCTTTCATCTTGTGTCTTTTTATACACGCGGAGGCAGTGTTTTCCAGATCGCTCGAGTTCTTTTGGATCGTAATCGAATGCACCAGCCAGAGTAGTTGGAAACATAAAGAGCATATGCTGATACTTTATTTGTGTACATGCCAATTTGTATTCAGACTAAAGACGAGCTGGCACTCGAAAAGGCTTCTGGTTAGCGGCAGCCCGGCAAACGCTGCCGAGCGGCTTCGAAGGGTGGGAAATACGGAGTAGGCTTGGCCTTAGGCATCTCAATAATGTCCCCGATTGTACAGTAAAACCTCGTTATAACAAAGTTGAGGGAGTGGTCGTAATTATTTTGTTATAACCATTAGTTTGTTATAGCCAATGTCCATTTCTTCACTATTAGCAAGCAAGGGGAATTACGATTGCTTTGTTATATCCATTAGTTTGTTATATCCCATTTTGTTATAACGAGGTTTTACTGTAGTTACATTCCCTCGTCGATGAATCGACGAAGCCATCTGCTCCTGCGTTTTTATCAGCACCAAGGACGACGGTAGTGAAGAATCGCTTACGTGCAAATGAACGAGGCAAAATCCGCAGCTACCTGCCACGGCACGTTGAAGAAGTGACGGCGATAGCTGTTATCCTGCACAGTAACAGGCACTTTTCTGAATATCCGTTCCGTATTTACTCGGTCTCGCGCTACACCGCCTTGTGCACGCTCAAGTACATGGGAAAGGCTGCACAGCTCTGTCAACGTCCCTGCCCATAACTAAATCGAGACAGGTTCTGTTGCCGAGGAAGAGGAGCTCGAAAGTATGAAGGGCTGTGGAAGATCTCCAGGTTTATGAGCCCAATTAGCAGTCATACTATTGCTTCATTCTACGAACAACCATCGAGTGTACACACAGTAAGCATTAAACTGTCTGATGGAGAGCACCGCAGACGTAGGCGTCTGTCATCTGGATGCTCGGAGTGTCGCTAAACATTGGGGACGCTGGAACGTTTCACGTATGCAACACAATTACCTAACGATTTGCCATAAATTTTTGTCTGTGAACGTTGTGGTTTATGAAATTTGCTGCCTGCTGTTCTCTACCTGAGCCACTGACCCTAAAGAAATAAGAAAAAAAACTGAATTTTCGTGGATGATGAGCTTGGGAAAACTAGGAATTTAAGATAAAAATGAACTCCGAAAAACGTCTCCAATTTTTGTCAAAAGCGAACTAAAATGTGGAACCCTACCTGCAAATTATCTGCAAGCAAAGTAAAAAAAAAAAAATTGTGCTCTTTTATAAAAAAAAATAATGAAAGCCATGTTTATTTATTGTAATATCGTGAGGGATGCTCCACCCCGAAAGATAACCCACCCCAATTTTTGGCTTGACTTGCTAATCTCTTTTAAGCATCGAAAAACGGCCCACTCCTAGTAGTCGTAGTGTTCGGATCAATGATGGCCTCGGCGTAAATGTGGCTATAGTCCATTGCAACTCAAGAAGGTAGGGCGAGGGTAAGACCGGCCGGGGGGAGGAAGCAGACGGAACGCTGGAGATCAGAGGGGGAAGCCTCCTTCTTTCTTTAGTGTTCCATCTGTTTCCTCCTCCCCGGACTGTCTTACCCTCACCCTACCTTCTTGAGTGACAACGGACATACCGGGTGCCCCAATAGCGGCCAGGGTCTTTAAATCGATCGCAAAAATCGGTTTCTTAACCTATCACGTTCCGATTTTGTACATCATTGGCCACACATGGTGCATTTTAGAGTGCAGCTCTTAGGCGCCCGCTTCCGGCTTGAGCGGCGTCATCGTCGTCGTCGGCGGCGTAACCAAGGTCACCCCAAGGTCACGTGACCCCTCCCAAGGTCACCCCAAGGTCACGTGACCCCCCGAGGTCACGTAGCCTCACTCCCCGATGTCACGTGACCCCCCCCCCCCCCCCCCCGAGGTCACGTGACCCCCTCCTTCCGAGCATATTAAAGAATGAGGGGGGAAGGAGGAGGAGAAGAAGGAGGAGGAGGAGGGGTCTACCCTCCCCTCAGTACCCTTCCCTCCTCCTCCTCAAGAGCTGCGCTCCAATTCGGTGTTAAGCGCGAAACACATGTACGACGAAACCGTCCGATCCGACGTGCGGACTGCCGGAATGACTTTGAGGGGAGAGGGTTTTCGTAGCATCGGAGAGCGTTGAAAACCCTCGCATCCGACCGTCGTATTGCGCGGTCGGACGTCGGATCGGACGGTTTCGTCGTACATGTGTTTCGCGCTTTACAGGGAGTTGTAAACGGCTTTCACTTTTTTTCTGTAAAATTCGCAAAGAGCAAACTTACCTGAGGAAAAAGTAAAAAGTGGAAGCCGTTTACAAATCCCTGTAACGCCGAATTGGAGCGCAGCTCTTGAGGAGGAGGAGTGAAGGGTACTGAGGGGAGGGTAGACCCCTCCCCCTTCTCCTCCTCCTCCCCTCATTCTTTAATATGCTCCGGGGGGGGTGTCACGTGACTTCGGGGAGGGGGTCACGTGACCTCGGGGAGGCGTGACCTGGGGGTGACCTCAAGGCCACGTGACCCCAAAGGTGACCCCCACGTGACCTTGGGGGTCACGTGACCTGGAGGGGTCACGAGACCTCGGGGGTCACGTGACCTCAGAGGGGTCACGTGACCTGGGGGTCACGTGGGGTCACGTGACCTTGAGATGACCTTGGAAGGGGTCACGTGACCTTGGAAGGGGTCACGTGACCTTGGGGGTCACGTGACCTCGGGGGTCACGTGACCTTGGGGAGGCGACCACGTGACCTCGAGGGGTCACGTGACCTTCAGGGGGTCACGTGGGGTCACGTGACCTTGAGATGACCTTGGGAGGGGTCACGTGACCTTGGGGGGTCACGTGACCTTGGGATGACCTTGGTTACGCCGACGCCGACGGCGACGGCGACGGCGACGCCGACGGCGACGCCGACGCCGACGGCGACGCCGCTCAAGCCGGGAACGGGCCCCTAAGAGCTGCGCTCTAAAAAGAAGAAGGCTTAACTCCTATGAAAACGCAGCAAAGCCACCAGTCTTCAAACCATAGTGCACCCTGTGGTTTGAAGACCGGTGGCTTCGCTGTGTTTCCATAGGAGTTAAGCCTTTTTCTTTCTTTACTTTTTTCTTTCGCATTCTGTTCTGCTTGTAATAGAAGATGATGCGGCTGACTAATGAAGTGCAAGGTAAGAAGCTCTAAATTGCTCAGAAGAGCGCCGCTTGTTGTTCACACTCAGCCTGTCAGAAATCCTTCTTGCCTGAGGATTCTTCGATTTAAATACTAAACAAATTCACATAGAGAACGTGAAATGATAGACAAGCGGTAAATAAAAGAATATTTTTGTAATTATCCTTGCGGGAAAGGTTGGGCGCGGCGGAGGAAGACTGCAGCCGTGCCCTTGCCTGGGACGACGGCTACGTGAAGGCGTACCACCGGCGAGGCCTGGCCAGAGACGGCCTGGGCAAGCACCAGCTGGCAGCAGAGGACTTCCGCAGGGTGCTGCAGCTGGACCCGAGCAACAAGGAGGCGGCGCAGCGGCTGCGGGTGCTCGAACTGGTGCGTCTCTTTTTTTTGCATGCTCATCGTCCTGTAGCAGAATTTCCCAGCGGCAAAGTCAATCTTTCTGGAGATGTCTTTGCATATCGGGACCTTTGCTGTGTCAGTGCCTTAACTTGCATATTTTGACAGCGAACATCTTAATTGAAATGTGCCGACAGAAATTATAATTTTAAAAGCTAAGTAATAAATTTCATTTCATTCCTTCTTTAAAAATAAATTCTTAGTTTTTCTGCAGGGGCTTTACGTAAGGGAGGACAAAACATCAGAATACATGTAAACTGACACTAAGCAAAAATGGAGTAAAGCAGTAATTGTGTTGTTACGTATCAAAGACGAGATGAGTGCGTTTCAAAAAGTGGCAGGGCTTACAATATCATTGGGGGTGTGAATTAGTCGGAAACTGATGACTCCAGTAGAAAGAATCTGACGATGTTATTTCTAAGAATAGTGAGATGGAGTCTGCGCGAGTTGTCCCTGCACGAGGAATTATGGCTGGCAGCTCGACAATATTTCTCTTTTCTGGATGGTGAGTGGTAGAAGGTGTGGTCTAGAGCGTGCAAGCAAAACGTCTTGCAGGGAGGGGGTAATTCATGAGTAATTCGTTTGCTAATTGTCACTTTAGACTTGTAACTTGGTGTCTGCCATGGTTGACAAGATTAATCTGCAGGAGTCATTTCTTTATTTCTAGTGTCCGTTTTCTTTCAATATTATTTTCCCTCTTAGAAAAGACATCCTGTGTACAACACAGTAGGGGACCCTTGGTGGACGGAGATGGAACTCTGGCCGAAATGTGTCGAATAAATTATTTTGTGGTTGTTTTGACCAAGGGTCCTCTTCTGTGTTTCAAGTATGCTTTTGGCCCTTATGCTTTCATGCCTGTTACATATGTATGTATACATATATTATTACACTACAGTCAAACCTACTTATAACGAACGCAATAGTTCCACGAAAAGTGGTCATTCTATCAGTAGTTCGTTATATCTGGACTTACCTTTAAAACACATAGATTTAGCTTCAAGGTACCGTATTTACTCGCACAATGAATGCACTCGTGTAATGAACGCACCCCCCCCAAGTCGGCTCTCAAAAGTTGTACTTTTTTTTTTCTTTCGCGTATTAAACGCACCCCCAACTCGGACGTCAAAATTTTGACCCCCTTTCCCCACGCGTGCGAAATGAACACACTTTTTATACTGGTGCAGCGAGGTCGTGAATGCATGGGCAGCTGGGCGAACAAAAGGCCTTGCAAAAGGTGTTAAAAAAATTTAAAAAAGATCCAAGTTAAGCAAGAAAAAAAAAAAAACACATGGAGAGGAGCTTTTTTTTTTTTTGCACAGCGCAGTCTAGATTTAGGTCGCGCGTTGCGCGCCAGGAGATAAGAAAGAGAAGCGGAGAAGCCGTCGCCTTTTCCTCGCGCTTTGGAAAGAGAAGCCCTCAAAATTAATGCACTTTTCTATCCTGGTGCAGCCAGGTCGCAAATGCATGGGTACATACCTGCCAAGTTTTACGATTTTATCGTAAAGTGTCCGCTTTTCAGTGCTTTCTTACGGTTATCGTATTAACAACAATATTTGTACGACCTTCAGCACACCGTGTAAAAAAAAAAGTTTTTGTTTAAGCTGCATCTCGAATGTTTACAAGTTGGGGTTGGCAACACTGGTACATCGACTTGTATGCCAGGGGGTGCAAGCTACCGCTCCAGTGTTGTAAGGGGTGGTATAACCGCTAACATCCATCCATCCATCTTAATCCAAAACTGTTTAGGAATTCTCCTTTGTTGTGGCGACGTTGTGCGTTGTGTTACTGGAACTTTTTTATGATCCCTACAAGATGTCGGGAAAAAAATACTTTCAAGCGTTTATTCCCAGCTATTCAACCGACTTTCCATTTATGAAGACGTCGCGCAAAGGCGAAAGGTACGCATTTTGCAGTCTGTGTCGCTATGATGTCAACATTTCGCACGCTGGTTGCCGGGGCATTCTGTGTCATCTGAATACAAAAAAAGCACAAGGACTCTGCAAATTTAGTTGAAACCAACGAGAAGCTTGGAGGGAACTTTAGTTGATTGACGCATTACGACACTACCCAAGCAGAATGCCTTTTTACGGCATTTTTGATCAAACTCAACGTGCCGTTCACGGCGGTTGTTGTAGAGATGTTGAAGAGCAAGAACTCTGCTCTTTAACGTCTCCGTTAAACCAGGCACAGGTGAAAGAGTTTTCAGTAAAGTGAAGAAGGCACACGCGCAGTTACGCTCCTTCATGTCGAAAAAGACTCTTGAACAGTTGTTGGTTGTGAGATGCAGCCAGTCCGGAAAGTATCATGAACAAGTGTTCGACAATAACTTCCTAAGAAAAGCAAAAGCTGCAACTTCCTCAGTGTTGGCCCCACCTTCTACTCCTAAAGAATAAGACATTTCGTGCAATGCATGATTTGTTTGTGCCCTAGTTGAGGCATTTTTCTTACCTAAACCAAGTTTTTGAAGAATAAAACAGTTTTTGTATTTCTTCACACAATTGTAGTGTTTTTTGGCATCCCCTGTACTATTTTCAGCATTGTAGGGTTGGCAGGTCTGATGGGTAGCATGGGCAAACGAAACAACTTGCGAAAGGCGGAAAAAAAGACAACACGGAAGCAAGAAAAAAAACAAACAAAAAGAGGCTTTTTTTTTTTTTTTTTCATTTTGCAGTTTGGTTTTTGAGTCGTACGCCGCGCGCAAAGATATAAGCACTTACGTCGATTTTTCGGGATAAAAGATCCGTTCATTATGCGAGTGAATACGGACGCAAAAATTTACTTCGCGTAATAAACGCCCCCCTCAACTTTGCATCAATTTTTCGGAAAAAAAGTGTGTTCATTCTGCGAGTAAATACAGCAATCAAAAAGTAAATTGCTGCCGATTCTACTGCACAAGTAAAATAATGAAGATTGACCAGATACCTCAAACAGCAGATTTGATGAAACGCACACCACCACAAAAATAAATGCTGTGCAGTAGTCCGACGATGGTTCTTCGCTGTCCTCAGAGGTAATTAATACTTGCTTTGGTCTAAAGCGTTTTACGTGCCGCACTTCATGCGTATGTACGAGTGCGCGGCCGTCGCCTCTGCCAGGGTCGTCTTTCAAACAACACTTTCCGAGCTTGTCGGGCACCTGGGATTGCGAGGCCACGCAGTGCTGCTTCGTTGTTATCTTTTTCCGACAGTGTGATGTCCTTTTGTTTAAATAAAGCCTCCTAGTCTATTTTTTTTCCCCACCTTAAAAAAGACAGACACGAGTCCGTGGATACCAGAGAAAGTGCTTGGAGGCGTTGGTGCTTGATACGGATACCGGAATGGTGAACGTAAACAAACAGTCACGATGGCGATGAGGCTAGCCACCTTATACCGAGCATCGAGTTAAAGAGTTTGCAAACATGGAACGAACGAACGCAGCACGGCGTGAGAGTTGACTCCTTTATTCAACCTAAGAAAAACTCAATAAGGTGGCTAGCCCCATTGCCATCGTGATTGTTTGTTTACGTTCACCATTTTGGTACCCGTATCATGCACATTCTCTTGCGTCTACGGACTCTTGTGTGTCGTTTTAGAATGTGGAAAAAGAATTTACTAGGAGGCTTTATTTAAACTAAAGGTCATCACGCTGGTGGAAAAAAATAACAACAGAGCAGCACTGCGTGGCCTCACAATCCCATCCGCCCGACGAGCTCGCAAAGTGTTAGAAAGACGACCCTGCCAGAGGCAACGGCCACGCACTCCTACATGCGCAGGAAGCGCGGCACTTAGAATGCTTTAGACCCAAGCAAGCATTAATTACCTCTGTGGACAGCGAAGAACCATCATTGAACTAATGCACGGCATTTATTTTTGTGTTGGCGTGCGTCTCATAAAATATGTTATATGAGATATGTGGTAAATTTTAATTATTTTACTTGCGCGTTAGAATCGTGCAAACCGTTTCTTTAAATAAAGAGCTGGCAGAGTGAAACTACCAATACCAGCTTCATTATCTCTATTTATAACATGTTTTAAAGGTAAGTCCAGATATAAAAAAACTACTGATAAAACAACCATTTTTCGTGGAACTATCACATTTGTTATAAGTGGGTTTGACTACAGGTTTTTGTGCTTACATAGTCCTGGGAAGTATGAATATGCAATGTAAAATACAATGCCCACAAAAAGGAAAAAAACAAGGTTGTGTTGTTTCACTCTGCAAGAATTTGCAGCTACATGCAAAAAGAGATGTAAAATGGCCGAGGTTTTACATACAGGAGGTTACTTAGCCTGCAGTTGAGATTTTAATGTAACAGTTTGCATTAGGCTGACTGTTGCTTTATTTCAGAAAATCAAGACAGGTGATGCACAGAAGAGTGAGGCACCGCAGCAGCAGGAATCTAGGAAAACGGTCTCAAAACCTGACGCAAAGGTGGAGAAGGCGGCCGTTGCCACGGTCGTGAAAGTGGAACCTATCTTCAAGCCCAAATGCGAGTGCTCAAAGGTAATCAGTCTTTGACCCACTTTCAGTTCACCACAATGTCTGTAACAGTAGATGCTGAATGTGTTTTGATTTTGTGCATGCACTGCAGCTGTGAATCAAAGCTGGCATCAGACATGAGCAATTTTATGTCATTTTGAACCTTTGAGCATGTCAACATCTTGCTCGATTCCCAGCTTTTTCTATTCATGCTTCCTTGTTTGCTTGAGTTTGGCTCCGCAAACTGTGCAAGTGAAAGGGCAATGGCTTTGCACAAATAAACCATGCCAAAGCTCCGATTACCCGAATGTAATTGGGAGCAGTTGGAAAAAAATAGTAAAGTTTCAAAATTTAAACCTTTGGTGCCATCTTCTGGGAACACTAAAAAGAAGATAGTGTCTGTTTTTGGCAGCGTATGTTGGTGGCCTAAAAATATACAATTATTAAATAAATAAAAACATTAGAACAAATTCAAATCAAATAAAAGTTTGGCAGTAAAATAATAAAAATTTATGCATAAAATAAAAACCAAATAATATGAAATCAAATAATAAAATAAAAAGTAAAAATTACAAGAATATAGCACAAACGACACACAGAGTGGTTTGTGCGGCACACATTCTCGCCTTTGTCAGCATGATCAAGCATGTATAATTTCCACTTCCGGTAAGCCACATTCTAGCTTGTTCATGAACAGCATCTGCCGTTTTCCCCTTTAGTTTGTATGGTGACGTTTAAAGCCTCGTCGCGTTTAGGAAACATAACGGCAGCATCAACACAACATGCTGATCAACAGTCGAGCAACATGCTGCTTGTTGGCACTCTTTAAGGATGTGGAACATACATAAAGGTATGGTAGACAAGTAGAAATACCTGCGAGTGTGGATCAACGAAGGTAAGATATACCTCCAGGAATATGAGAGACATTAGTGGTAAAGGTAAAAGAAATTTGGCATTAAGAAGCTCAGTGTGTTATAGAACTTTAAAAGATATGAAGTGGTGTGGGGAGTATGGAAAGAAGTAATGGTACCAGGAATAACCTCTGGTAATGCAGACTTGCGCATGAGTTCTGAAGTTCAGGCGAAATTGGAGATGGACAAAGGAGCATAGGCAGGAGAGCTGTAGGGGAACATGGGAACGCTCCAAAGGAGGGAGTTCAGGCTGATATGGGCTGGTCAGCATTTGAGAGCAGAGAAACGGGGAGTAAAATGAATTTTCACCAAAGATCAACAGACACGAAGAACACGCATTGGGCACATAAAATCTATAAATAGCTGTATATGAGGAGTCTGAGCTTGAGATGGATGAAAGAGACATGAAAGTTTGTGATAAAATTCTTGCAGACGGGCAAGGGGGGGAAGCACACGCATTCAGTGGAAAAGGCAGTTAAGGAGGCAGAGGGATGGATGTGGGAGGAGAAATGCAGGGGAAACCATCCTTGACAATTCATAGGTCACAAAAGCAAGAAATAAAGAAGGAAGGTTTATTCGATAATTCAAGAGGGAGCGCTCTGCTGTTTGAGGCGAGGACAGGTTTCTTTTAAGAACTAAAACATATAGGGCCAAATCTGAAGACACAGATAGAACTGTGCAGTATGTAAGGAGGAGACGGGAACAATTGAGCATGTGATTCTAAACTCGGAGGAGCTTGGTCCTGTCCTTTCCGAAGGGGCAACAAAGGTGCCGGTGTCCAGTTGGTATCACTGGTGAGGATGGAAGGGTGAATTATAAAATAGCAAAGGCAATGAAGAGGAGATTGGAGTGCTGGTTGAAATTATCTAGGGAAACTTGAACTAAGTACAGTAAATTTTCGTTAATTTGACCTCGACGGGACGTCAAAATTTGGTCGAATTATCCGAATGATTGAATTAAAAAAAAAAAAGGGACGGAAAAACGGTTAAAATTAAACTTCCTTTTATTGTCCACTGTACTCTTAAAACGCGTGTCTAAAAGGAGGCTCCGGAGAACAGCGTAACTAAACGTCACGACTCCAGAAAATCGCGCGCTAAAAAAAAAAAAAGAAAAAAAAAGAAGAAGAAAAAAAGTAAGTTTTACGAGCCAACTTTGACGCCGGGCAGCCAGACCGTCGGCGACAGAGAAAAATATTAGAAAAAGGGAAAGAGAACCCGCACTTTCTGAGGCGCAAGATGGACCGCACACGATGCTACAGAAAAGCGCTTCGAGAGCACGTGTTGTCTCCGCGCCCAACGACCACGTGCTATGTTCTCCGCACTACTCCACGCCAGATTGGTTGCGCTGGCTCGTGTCATTCGCTACGGTCCATCTCAACGGCGTGGAAAAGCGGGCGCATATTTGCAGACGTTCAACTTCGCAGCAAAGGGCCCGTGTTTCGCCGTTAGTTGGTGGTTTTTCTGCCGTGGTGCCCTGTAATGTAAGCCCGCGCGCATTTGCTCGGGACGAATTATCCGATGCTGAGTCTTCCCGAGTTCGAACTATGGAACTTTTCCTCCCATAGAAATGTATGAGCGCTCGCCGGGACTTTTGAACACTATCGAATTAAACGAAAGTCGAATTAACCGAGGTCGAACTAACAAAAGTTTACTGTACAACAACTAACGCAGCTGGAGGACAGGCAGGAGAGAGGAAAATTTGGATTCCCTCCCAAGTGGCTCCGGCCCAAAGTATGAACCCTGTCCCCCAGTGGGTCGGGTGTTAGGTGATGCTGACAAGGTTTGACTAGAGGAAAATTGGCGACTCCCTTGCCAAGGGGAGGAGGCGGTGGGTGACTTTTTCAGTATTTTTGCCCGATCCCCCGTAGGTTTGCCTGGCGATCATCTTCATGACCTGGTGATAGAGAAACGCATTGGCTTGAAAAGGAAAATCAGGTTTTTGTTATTGTTTTTAGGCTAGGCGGCGCAAGCTACCGCCCGTTACAAAGGGTACAGCCGTTATCATCCATCCATCTATCCATCTGTTGTCCAACCATCCTGTCACATTGCCAAAACATCAGTACAACATGGACGACAGCGGCACTGTTGCCTTGGTGTAATGGCAACAAAAACAGCGGGAACTTGTTTTGGACAATGCGTGTTAGCCGGTTTGTTGGATGAGCAAATTTCGTGCTGACAACCGACAACACAGTTGAGTGTGAAGCACCCAATCAGCAACATGTTTATGTCAAATGATTTACACAAATAAAGTCCTGAAAAACTATTTAGTAATGTTCAAGCCTGATGTGCAGAAGAGATAATTTAAAAATTATAATTTAAAAACTGAATTTTTTTACCGTATTTACTCGCATAGTGAACGCACTCGCTTGCATAATGAACGCACCCCCCCCCACAATGGGCATCAATATTTTGTCTTTTTTTTCCCCCTCTCGTAATCAACGCACCTCCAATTTTCAGATTCCCGAGTCTCAAATTTTGTCCAATTTAGCAAGCCACCAATCCAGTTTTCTTTTGATGCAAAGCGCTCGGGCCAAGTCAAGCCAAGCCAAGCCGCTCTCGTAATATGGCCGCAAGTGCGTAGTTATGGTAGTTACGAAAGTGATCAACCGTGAAACCGAGTGTTGCGCGCACTTGACGAAGCTTGGGTCGAGGAAGTGCCGAGCCCCGGTCATTCTTCGCCTATGGGTTGCATTGATGCCAACAAACAAGCCGTCGTCTGTGATCCGCTTTCGGACAGTGAAATCGTGAAAGTGGTTAGGCCTAATTCCACATACTCCGGGTAAATGTGTTTATTTAATCCGTAACAGAACGGCACAGCCAGGTGCACACTGCGCTGTAGGCTGAGAGTGTCTGGTAGCCCCTCCGTGAACGAAACTTGATCTGTGCGAGTATGCTTTGGGGGTCGGCGGTTGGACTTTGTACGAGTTCTTGTTTTCATGAACGAAACTCGATCTATGCGAGCGAGCTTCGGAGGTGGGGGGTTAGACTTCGTACGAGTTGTTATACGCGTAGTCGCGGATATACCTGAGCATGCCCGCTGGATACTAGCAATGGATACTAGCAATATATATCGCCTGAGAACGGTCGTTGCCTTTTGTGCCGAGGGAGCTTTGTAGGGCACGGCGGTGCTTTTCTTTCGGCAAAAGGCACCCCGAAAGCGCCCTAAAAGGGTTTGCAATTCATAAAGCATGGTTACTGTGGCACGTCCCCGACCAGCCGTGGGTGCGCCTCCATCAGTGGAGACGTGCCACAGTACCTTGCCGTGTCACATTGGCACCTAATATGACATTTGCAGAAAGTGTGTAGTTGCAAAAATTTTACCCCTTGTAATGAACCCCCCCCCCCCCCCCCCCCCAAATATGAGTCAATTTTTTGGGAAAAAAAGTTTGTTCATTATGCGAGTAAATACGGTAATTACGAAAAGCGATAATTGAAAATGTCACAACTGGTGTCTTGAACATTCAAACAGTCAACTGAAATTTGAATTGCTAGCTATGATCAGACTACATACCGCTAGAATCATAAAAATAGCATGCTTGCCTACTCTTTGAAAATATGTTAAAAAATCATCCGCGAAAGCATGCTACACAAAAATCTGAGCTTGAAAACGACTGCTGCCGAATATGATGTTGATATTTGGTGCTTGAAAACTGCAGCTGGAGACACGTACAATTGTTTTAAAACCCTGGAAGTTGTGGTTGATGAAGCGGTCACAAAGCAGACGAGAAAGGTAAATAGCATTGAGAAATATTTATTGTACCGACAGTTGTGTCGGCTAAACCGTCAATTGCACTTTCTAAATGTTTGCAGCTGAGCGCCAGACGACACAGGAGGCTTTGGGGTACAGCTGACATCAGTGTCTTTTATGCCAGAAATGGAAATTTTATGAAGTTTGGAGCGACTTTCGTAAGCTGGCATAAATAAGGAAAATGGCAGCAATCACGTCTACCTCGGTTAGGGCTAGCTGCTCTGTCAGGGAATAAAGAGCATCTCAATAAAATAAGGAGTGGAGAATACTTTCCATGTCAATTATTGCAGTCACTGCCACTGGTGGATGTCAACCCGTGGTAATTTTCGTCTCTTTAAACGCACTGGCACTTTGTGGAGACACAACATTTCATGCCCGACCCGCACACAAACAGAGGTAAACCAATAGGATGGCGAGACGTTCCCCTTGTTGGCCGCGGCGTCAGCTCGCTGTGACAGGGTGATCTCCGAACTTTCGGAACACAATTCGGCGAATGCGGTTTGCCGGGTGACAAAAACATGTTTCCTGACAGTTTCCATTGCCCCAATGTGACAGGGTCGCCAGAAACATATTTCTCTCGTGTCGACGTTGTCCAACTGTTTCCTATGTGACGGCGTCTTTTGTTGTTGGCATTGTTTTGTTGGCGGGTCACAATTGAAGGAAGAATAAACAAGTATGACGAAGACGAAACAACCACAGCTTGAAAGATGTTGTTTTGTCGTCTTCGTTCTAGATGCTTACTTTTTCTTCAATCTTTATTGAAAAGTTGCATGACTTTCCGAAAATTTTAACGGAAAAAGGGTGGCCGATAGAGCACTGGATTACATTGAGCCAATTGGCGACAGTTACCGAGAATGGGCCCAATTTTTCCATTTAGGATTTTCGGAAAATGGCGTAACTTTTGAATAAGGTAACCATTAATTTTTTTGGAGGGGGACAAGCCGTACATTGTGCGAAACTGCTTACGGGCACAATCAAAAGGTCCGCTCTTTCATGCTCCGGGCAGAGGCCACTGCGGAGAGTCCCCATTCAAGACGTCCCGTCTGTCGAAGGCGACGCATCTACCGAGAACGCCGACGCCCCGTCGGCCTTGCCCAGAGCCCCGGACGTGCCTGCCCCTGCCCAGAGCGCCTTCCAGTTCTACGTGGATTGGAAAAGGCTGGCGCGGTTTCCGGACCTCCGCTACCACTACCTCAAGGTGGGAAAGCCAATCTCTTCTACCAACACAATATGTGCTGGTGGTCTAGTTAGCTGAACTACGGTGCATGGAAAGTGTCTTCCAACTGGTGTGCTTAGTGCCCTATCCCACCCATACATCAAAAGTGGTAACAATTATATGTACCTGTACAGATAGCGCTGAAGACAAAGGACAGGTAGAAGAATGGACAGGACAGGTGGCATTTTCATCCTTGTCTTTTCTTTCTCTTTTAATTGAAACGTCGGTTGAAAGCAGCGCTTTTCCCATCCAGTCTTCTACTTGTCCGTTGTTTTTTGTGCTACCTGTTTGGTGGTGTCTTTGTGATAATTAAAAAAATGTGTTTTGTGTAGCTTCTTTCTTTAAACTTTTGATGTGAAACATTTTTTGGCTTGGTGTTCTGCATGTCATGGAAGCCGAAAAGTGAAGCCTGGATAAAAGCGTGGCCGCGAGGCTCGATACCGATTGGTTGACGGGTGAGAGAAGAGGAGTGAGGTGCTTGACGTCGATTGGATAACGGGGAGGTCTTGTTATACAGGGGTGGAGAAAGGAGGAGTGGATTAGAAGGTTTTGGAAGGTCACCAGGTTTATCCAGGGTGTCGAACCGGTCATCATTCTGGTTCGGGTTCAGTAGCATTGTATTTTGTTATGGTTCGGTTCCGGTTTAGGGTAGCGCACATAATATCACTCTGGTTACCGGTTTTAATAAGGGTGAACCGGTTCGAACCGGTTCCCAACTCACCCTTCGAATATTGACCAAGCACTTCCTGCAGCCTTTTCTGAGCACGAGATACTCTCAATAGACCCATCCCAATAGTACTTTCTCTTCAGACGAATATGAAAACTCTGCACAGTGACGTGGGCAAAAGAGACCATTAATATGGCAAGGATATTACTTGGATAATTCTTTTCTTAAGTGAACTATATATAAGCGATCAGCTTTCCATTTTTATGGTGTCTTCTACAGACGCAGCTGTGCAGTATTTCAAACTCTGCCAGAAGAGGGCGTATTTTCGGGATGGATCTACTGTTAAACCTCAATTTAACGAAGTTGACTGGAGCCGCAAATTACTTCGTTACATCGCGGAATGCGTAAAATCGGGAAATGCATTTTTTGGCCATTAGATTGGCCATTAGCCGCCGTGACAAGACGCACCTTTTTGGGCAAGCGTTCTTTTCGGTAGCATTTGATAGAAGAGACCGCTTTCGTCGGCGTTGTATATGTCTCTGGGGGCATAGCTTGTTAGGATGTCCGGTACATTCTCAGACAACCAGTCACTGGCCTCAAGCCTGTTGACGCTATTTTGCTCGCCGCATATCACCTTGCCTACAACCGCATAACGCTCTTTAAAACGCCTCAGCCAGCCAGAACTTGCTTTGAAGTCATCAAAGCCCAGCAGACATGCAAAAGAGAGCGCTTTCCGTTGTAGCGCTTCCCCGGATATCGGAACGTTCTTGGCTTGCATGTCCATAAATCACGTGTAAAGCGCTTCTTCCAACTTTTCGTACGGCGTAGTCTTCAGGTTTTTCTTTTTCGTCGCCTTCCCTGACGAAGCCGCTCGAAGGATAGCCTCCTTCCCCTTCAAGATCATTGACAACGTGCTCACTGGGAGGCCGTGCTCTGCAGCAACGTCGCATTTTTTACGTCCACTGGCAACAGCGTTAATTACCTTCGCTTTTTCTTCTAGAGAGAGAACTTTTCTTCTTTGGCGGCTCCATTTGGCGGCGACGTAGACGTGTTGGTAGAGGAATCCAAAGTTGTGACGACAGGGAGAACCCAGAAACAAAGAAACACGGATCTCGGCTCCACAAACGGCCAAAACGACGGCGAACGTCGGCGGCGCCATCTATTGCACGCGACGTGGATGGGTGGATGGATGAATCCGGCTGAGCCTTTTGGATCGGGCGGTAGCCTATGCCACCTAGCCATTTTGTTTTACCATTTAAGCTTAGAATATTTAAATGTGAAATCTATATTCACTTCGCACTGCAAAGAAAGTGAGGCTATAAAAACCGCCTTGCCATCAGTTAATAAGAAAATACCTAGTTTTCTCTTGATTTCTGCCACCATTCACTTAATCTTTGCTTGGTAATCTCTACAGTCTTGAAATCCACCCTCCCTTCGCTGTCTCCAAAACCCAATGACTTTATTAAATGTATATTGTCTTTGGTAGGCATAGGGTGAAGCCCTTTACAGTAGAGTATCAAGTGCTCAGCCGTCTCGTCCTCCTCTCCACAAGCAGTGCACACTGTATCCACGTGAAACACAGCCGCCAGTGCCATTTGGTATAGTTTACTCAAAGCTCGTGATGCACAGTTCGTTTTTGCGGGGAGTTCCGTAAAATACAGACTTCGGGTTCCTCAATGTTACTGATGCACCATAATGACAATCTTCTGGGTCTTTCTTTTCGAAATATCCGTGAAACGACCTCGTTTTACTTGCATTTATTTTCAAAAAAGCTTCGTTAAATCGGAACATTATTTCGTTATTTCGAGTTTAGAAAAGCATTGAGCCCTATGGGCACGTTACAGAGAATCAAAATTTTTTTCGTTAGATTGCGGAATTTGTAAGATCGGGTTTCGTAAAATCGAGTTTCGACTGTATAGACCTTTCCAAAGAAAGAACTTCTGGCCGGTGCCATCTTTAGTGTTCGGTCGTATAGCGCGTGCCTTGCTCACTTTCCGAAGCGGCAAACAGGCACGTGCTGGGCTCTGATTTTGTAAACAGTGAAAAGGTCTCTAGCTAGATTGCTTGCCCTCCCTATGTTTTGGTTTGTTTTGTTCTGCACACACGTGTTTTTTTTTATACATGCTACCTGTTTTTGGCACCCAGTAAAATGTCACAGCTATGCCCTAGAGTGGCTGATGGGGGAACAAGAGGAAACAAATCTGCCGTAAAACACAGAACAGGGACGTCGAGTGCGCAGTTGGGGTAGTTTATCGAATCCCGTGGAGCTGTGGTCGTGTATACATTGGCCAGACTGGCCGATGTGTCAATGACCGGGCACGTGAACACGCACGTATAATGTAATGTGACTACATCTTGACAGCGCTTCGGGTTCCGGTGGAAAAATGCTCTTCTAAAGACCTCGTGGCGGTGCTTCGTCTAGTCACTTTGACTTTTTATCGCAAACAACACTCTATGCAAATGAACTGCTCCGAGAGACTCAGACCGAGTCGTTTGCACAGATCAGCCACCGAACAAAGTTTCGGTAATGCCACCGCAGCGAACGATGTTTCTCGAATGCTCATTTGAATGCAATGAAAGAAGACTTTAAACAAAAATGAGGAAATGGTTGAACAGGCGACATGCTGGCCTTGCTAGTCTGACAAACCTTCAAAAGAAATAAACACACACATTTTCTTCTCCCCCCCCCCCTTCACCTCCACCTTCCCCTGGCCTCCTTCCAGGACGCGAATCATCGCAGAGTAACGTTGGCTCCAACATCCCATGGTGCTTTTTTTTTTTTTTTTTTGTAAGGTAACATTTTGAGCACGTTGAAGAAGGGATTGTTTTTCATTAAAATGGGACCACAGGCGACCCTATAAACTATAGTGCCGAACCAGCACGGTACTTGTCCCCCCTTCCTTCAGGGTGTCGCTGCACTCAAGCGGAAGGTCACGTGGTGCACTATGCCTATCGGTGCTCAATTGACTAAATGGCTCATCGACTGCAACTACGGTCTATCTTGAGGTCAAACATTCGCGGACGCGTAGGCCTCCGTGCCTACAGTAGCGCAATCCGCTCCGACACTTGGACATTTCGTAGCCAAGCGGCCAAGCGGTGCTTTGAAATCGCCGCCACCACTACCGCGCTGCCAGGGTCAATCCAAGAAACAAAGGAAAGTTGAAGCTCTCCAGACGATGATCTATTTTTTATTACGTAATCAATAAAAACAAAATGTTAAAATATCTCGCAGTATGTATGATTGGTCTTGGCAACATAAGAAAAATATACGCCCGCAACTTTTCCCATTTAGACCAATTATTGACATAATTGGCCCTGAACTGTTTTTGTTGAACCGGTAACCGCCACATCAGATTATGGTTTCGTTCCAGTTCGGGTTCAATATGAAGTGTTTGATTTCGGTTCCGGTTCGGTCAAAAATAACGGTTTTGATCCGGTTTTCAGTTTGGGTTCAGGTTTGGTTTGACACCCTGGGTTTATCGTTTTAAGTGTACACATGCCACACATTAAATTATCTGATGAGCGCTGTGAATGTAGGCTTCTGGCTGAACAAGCAAGACATGCTGCTGTGTAACAATATAAACTTTTTTGCTGCTAGAGCCTTTCACGTATGCAGCAGATTTGCCTAGCAATTTCCATACACTTTTTTCCCCCAGAAAACTTGGGTTCGCAGTATGATGCTATACATAAAAATGAAGCTAAATAAATAAGCTTTTCAATGATGCAAACGTCAAAACAGAAACTTGATTTCTAACAAAAAAAAAGATAATTAGTCAAAGATTTTCTTTTTTTGGGGTTTCACCAAACTGGGTAAAAATATGACCATCTAAAAAAAAAAAACGCAAAAAAATCAAAATATATTACAAAGAGCTTTCCATTTTGACGATAAAAAGCTCTGCAAAACCTAGTTTGTTCCAAAAGGTTTTAGGCCCTCAAAGGTCACGTCAACCCTAATGATTGACATGCCATTGGGCTAAGCAGTTTCTCTCATGCACAGGTCATCAGAACTAAAGTATAATGATCTCGCTTCATCATGAAACTCGCTGTTGCTTTCTGGAAAAAAAACCTTGACATAGAATTTGTGAATTTGCCACGCTTGCAAGCACGCTCCGGACCCTGGCAAGTGGTTGTGGCTGTGAGCAATGACGACATGTCTTTGGTTTTACGCTCGGCGTGAAAATCGCCGCTAAGCAGAAAGAAAAAAGAAACACTAAAGCCAAAAGCTGTTTTCAAACTACCCGAGAGTTATGAAAGGGCCTCCACGCCCATCAATCCTGAGTGATCAACAATAAAAGCGCAGTCAGAAAAGTGTCGATGAAGCCATAAAGTAAAATGAATGCAGCATTCGAAAGACCAGAAGCTTTCTAAATAAAGGTGCTAGAATATTAAAAAAATATTTAAAGCCAAATCGAATAGCGTCAATATTTGACTCTATTTGTAATAATAATGTTGCGTGCATGTTTATACAGCCCGAACTTAGCCAGCCTCACTGGGTGTCTGGTGTCAGCTGTAGATGACACCAGACACCAGTGCAGTACAACTGCTAGCCTGGGGTCTTAAACGACCATCAGCGGTAGTGATACGTGACCACACGCCGGTGTGATGCTCATCCAGATCGAAACGGACAGGGGTGGGGATGGAACCCAGGATTTCTGGGTTCTGCAGCGTGAGCTTTTGCTCCACCTGCTCCGAGCTGGTGTGTGCTAGCCCACTCGGCCACCGATCCCCGCGATTTTTTTAGTTGTGTCTGCTGTTTTCAGCAGTAAAATATTTTGGATAGTGCCTTGATCGTCTGCACTCAACTCTGAGAAAAATGGGGAGTTTTAGTCAAGAACGTTTGTTTAGGCATGTAGGTGAATTTTTTTTACAAAATACTACTGCACATTAATATTGTGAAATATTAAAATTTTTGAATAGTAGTTTAGGATATAATACAATATTCCATATTCTCTTCGAGATAAACTGAGATATGAAGATTTTTCGAAGTGTTGACCGTGGCGGATTAGGCTCATGGAGTGCACTTCTCAGCGAGTACCGGTGCACTAAGAAGAAGCAACACCCTCGGAGCTTGCTTCTGCAGGTGTCATTTTTCCTCGGTGCACTGGTGCTCGTTAAGAAGCGTGCTCAATTGGGCTAACCTTTGAAAGCACTTTGAAAAGTATTGCAGTCGTGTGCTTACGAGGAAAGCATTCTTCTAAAGCAGGGTGAGCATGCACGTGCATTTGTTGTATTAAGGGGAGACGCGGGTCTTAAAATGGTAAAAAAACGCGAAATGTCACGTTTTTCAAAATTCAGATATTTGGATTAATTGTAGTCTAAGGTACCTGCCTGCAAAGTTTCAGTGTCGAATTCAATGTCTAAGCATGCAAAAAATTATGTTCACGATGTCCCCGCAGAGCCCTAACACAGCGAGTTCAATGAAAACAAGTGGAACTTCGCGCCCCGCGTGTTTCGCGATCGCTCGTCGGATCGCGGCCATCTTGGTCTTGTTGGAAAGCTGCTTATTTTCCCCACGTCCCCATTCCATTCGTTATCGCGACAACATCGGGGAACGTCCGCATTCCGCGGGTTTCGAAGGCCCCAATTACGATCGCTCATTGGCCGGCTAGCAAGGTGCCCGTACGTCAGAGCACGCGCGGCGCCTAGCACCCCTGCTATTGGCCTAAACGCGCCCCTCCGCTCTTTTTCTCCTTTCCTCCTTTCCGTTCCCGCGCTGGCGAGAGGTGCGTCGTCTGCTCCTGGGCCCGTCAGGCCCGTCTCCGCCCGTCTCCTTAGGCCTGTCTGCTTTGTTTCCTCCGTGGTCGAGCGCACGTTTTAGTTCCCGTTTGCGCGCTTGCGTTGAATATTGTTGGTTCGTTTTCCTACGAAGTCGCGCGTGTTTTGTTTCGCTTCGAGTTCTCGAGTTGCCGGACGACGCTCGGTTGAAATCGAGCACGCGGCAAGCGTTCGGAAGGAAGAGGAAGCGACCGTGGAACAAGAAGCCGAAGCTGTCTGCTGCAAGTGCGCCACCGCGATTGACGCCACCGCGATCGGCACCGCAGGATGCCTTGGATCTTCTGGAAACATCAGCCGGAGACATCCCAACTCCATGCAGCAGCGGCAGTTTGTCGAGCTTTGCGAGCGCGGTTCGTGTCGACACCGCATACTACACGGCCGAGCAGGCGCAACGAGTCGCACGATCGGACGAATGCAAGCGTGCGCTATCGGAAAAGTCGGCGACCCAGCGCAAATCCGACCTTCTCGGCATCACCACAGGAGGCCAGACGCGCGACGCTGGGACACAGTTCATTGTAGTGGACATGAAAGCTCTCAAAGCATGGAGAAGGACAATCTGTGTTTGCGTAAGGCCAGCGCTGCCCACCAGAGCAGCAGCAATGCAAAGCAGAGGTTCTCCAGGCAACACCAAACTGGAACAGCTGGGGACTGCAGTCCTGGACAGCTGTGAGGGGCTCCCCTTTCAAGTGCTACACGAACAAAGGCCCTTTTCAGGGCCAAACAAAATCTGCTTTCGGAACGTGCAACCCTTGGTGCCTCCTCCCGTTGTCCCTTATAGAGTCTACTCATTCTTTTATAACTTTATTTTACATTCCAGACATTATTTCTCAGTTTTATATTATTTTTTAAAGGTTCTTGTGAACGGATTGCAGAATTTTTCATCTCAGTTTGTTCAGATAGAACTATGCTTCATGTTGCTGAACATTATTGCATGGGATCCCTTACTCAATTTTATGCAATGAGTGTCAAAACTTCAACTGCAATTTTCTCAGCTTCGCATTTTTCGTCTACATGCCTAGCCTTACGGTTGCTTTCATGAGATTATTCTTCAAGGATTTCTATAAACTTTATACCGTTGAATTCAGAAAGAAGTGAACTGCTGGGTGATGCTATTTTTGTATGACAGTATGGGCCCGAAATTTTATTACTAGTGATAATGTGACCTCGTTAGGCTTTCTAAATAGTGTACTTGACCTAATTAGACTAGTTCTATACAATGATCTATCTTTACAAAAATATAAATAGCATCATCTTGCATGACAGGTCTTTAGCTACAAATCCATATCACTTATGCAAAAAAATTCGTATTAGAAAGTTCCTTAATGAGTCGTAAGAAATGACCTAATTAGGCTTAATTATTTTCTTTGTAACTCAAAAAGTAATTGAGATATTGCAGAACTAATTGAATATTTGAAAAGAGGAAGCCAAAACACATATGCACACTGATTTTCATTATAATCCATTAATAAACAAAAAAGTCGATTTTAGAACCAGTGTCTTGCCTTAAAAAAAGAAAAAACATTGTGAATGTTGATATTTAGATTACAGTAAAATTTTCAAAATTAAACTGCAATTGTTTGCAAGAGTATATGTTAGGCAGAGAGGCCCTGACAACGGGTGTTCGTCATTTGTGATTGTCTTTGTTTTTGTTTGAGCACAATGCAAGCTTGGAGAAACAATTCAATATTCGATTCAAACATATATTGGGCCCAAACCACCATTCTCTTCGAATTTTCTTTGAACTCAAGATCTACTCTTGTCCAATGCCTACTGTTCACTGCGCAGCAACTGGACCCAACAAGGCTGCCCTTCCTGTTCCGGCAGTCGATGGAGACCGAGCTCTTCTCGGAGATGCTGGTTGTCTTGGAGGAGCACTTCGTGAGGTATGTCCCCGCCTTTCACAGTTGTGTCGGAGTGTGAAAGGCGGGGTTTCCGTGTCTGCTCAAGTATAACGAGCAACTTACTTGCCGTCCCTGCTGCTGAATGGCTAAGTGTCGCATTATATCTGGTTAAATGAGGCAAAGAAGTCGCGTGCATGTGTCGTGCTTTAGTATTTTATTCAATGATGACAGCAATTGGCTCACTGCCAGTGCGTTTGGTGCGGCATGTTGGTGATGAGATATCTTGTAGTTACAAGCAGCGTCAAGTGTCTCATTGGTTTTTGAGTGTCTGTTTACTTATAATCCTTTAGAAGGTGTGAATGAAAAAACGCTCCACAAAGGCAAGTTATTAATTAAGAATGCAGGAGTGATATCCCTTTACAGTACCATATTTACAAATTTAAGAAATAACTTTAGCGGCACATTTTACGGCGAACATGTGAGAGCGGCGGGTCGTCTCTTTGAGAAGCCCGGCCTCCGGCGCACGCTCGATGCCTTCTGGCGTACTTTGGCTGCGCATGCACGCGCAAGGCGCACAAGATGCACTGGCGTCATCGAAACTAGGATGCTCATGTGGCAGGCGGGACAACTGAAGCTACTTCATCATTCTCACCCCGTGTGTGACTAGAGACCACGATTCGTCAGCACTGGTGCTGTCGTTCCCGTCGTCATCACCGCTACGTTCCCAAAGTGCGTCGTCGGCGTCGTCCAACGAAATCTCGCACTTTGCAAGTGACCGCATCTTCCGCGCTTGCTCGGTGATCGTGTCGCACGTGACAAGCAGGGACCGATCGCGCACTTCTGCGATGTACGTTGCAAACCTAACCTCTAATTCTGGAAAGCATCCACACTTATCCCGACTGGCCCACAGAAGCCTCCTCGTTTGCCGTCACAGTTAAGATCCTGCGCCGTTGCAGATGTCACTAGAGTAGCACCCGCTCCGATGAGTAACTTGCATCCAGCAGCGCAGTTGTTGGTTGCTTTAGGATGAAAAAAGGCCGTAAACGGGGAGTGAGGCTGTTCCAGCGACCGTTCCGGCGTGGCTCTTACATCAAGTGCCGCCACCCCCGTCACTTGAGCTGCTAGTGCACGCCGCGACGCTGGGCAGTGTACTGTGCACCGTTCACTGCTGTGCATTCAGGCTAATTTGCAAATCGCAAACAATAATACTTGTTCTTGCAGATTAAAAAAAAATTCAACAAACACTTAAAACAACTTACATGTAGGAATGCAAAAGCATTCCTACAAGCAGCGCGAAACGTCTTCTTTTCGCACACGACACTCTGGCGGTGACATCACACTCCCCCTCTGTGCAGGTGTGGTGAACCCTGCCGGCTCTATGACGGCTTCCGTGACGAAGCATCTGCATTGCTGTGCTTTCTTTTGTGTTTTATTTTTGAGGCACGTGCTTGGTGAGGTATTGGTGTGACCATCGTTCAGGCGCAATGCTGCCCCTTTTTTGTGTAATAAGTTGCCTTAACAAAAAAAGAGCCTGTAAAATGAATGCACAGAATGGCTCAATGCTGCAGGTTGTGCTGTTATTGTGCCAAGCCGAGGTGCTCTTGATATCGCGATTGTTTCGTTTTTGTCAGCGGTGGAATGCTTTGGTTCGATTATGAGTTGATCTCCCCCCTTTAGTTTTTAAAATATGGAAAAATGGGTCAACCTACAATCGCATGAAATCGGGTGGAATGGCTGCCCCATTTGCGCCAGATGCATTTGTCTGCGCCATCGTGCGCCACTTTGTGGATACTTCGCCACAGCCAATACCTCGCGCCATTGTGCTCCAAATCGCACAACATGCGCCCAAAAAAAAACTATTTTGTCTTGGTTTCGGTTTTTATGAACTCGATTGGCAACAATGAGTGCGTTTAGCTTGGTCGGCCTTGCAATCCTTTGTTCTGTTTATTTTCCTTGTGTATTTTGAGTTGGAAGCGCGCGAAAAAACTCGGGGGTTGGATGTCAAGCTCTACATCACCTGTTACTGTATTATTCTTCAACCATAAGCAGTTGAGCAAGTCGGCCGAGGCGAGGTCGAGTCGTTAAGCGTCAGATTGCCTGTGGCTCTGCGGCCCGGGTTCCGGACGTCAGCCAGTTAAAAACACATTAGCAAAAGATTTCCTTTAGTGCTTCAGCGTTAGAAGTTGGAACCGCATTCCTGCAAGATAAATCGTGATTTCATTGAACTGAAACGCGGTCCGGTCCGAAACCTTGCCGACCAGCAGCTCTCACGCGAGCGGTAGATCTGCTCGGCATACTTTAATCTTGCTCCTGCTTATCGCTTCGAATATGATAACACCTTTAATCGTAGTCTGCTGCTTCGACATTGAGTTGTACAATAGGATAAACTCAAAATTTGTTGCCCTATTCCTTTGCGCAACTGCACGTCCATTGCTTACGCACGTCCTGTGGTTCGCACATATAGTTACTATGTCGAGCACGTGTGGGTTGTGCTATAAGCAGTGCTGGTTTGCATTTTGAGCAGCTGAAAGCCACTCAGAAAATATCAAGGACACTATCTTCAGAAACATAGGGTACTTGGTTTTTGGTTCTCACTAAAGCCAAGTTTTCGCATCTGTTACACTGTCATCCCATCTACCTAGGTTTCTAACCACTCATGTTCATCTGTGCTGCTAAGCACATTTGAAATTGCCCCCATGCTCGCCTAAGACACAAGCTGAAGTGCAATGAAAACTGATCTGAGCTACTCCTGGCCTGCTCCAAAATGTAGATTTAGCTTGTTCCAACCTGCTCCAAAACAGCTGCGTCAGCTGCTCCCGTGGCTGCTCCCAAGTACATTTCATGAGTTCTACCCTTCGAAACGGTAGTCCCTCATTACAACAAAGTGAACAGGATGGCAAATTTTTTTATATAATCTGTAATTTGATAAAAGCGAGAAATCCAAAAAAACAGCGACAGCAGCCTTGAAGGTGGACGAGAACACCGCGGAAGACTTGAAACATATTGGATCAAACAAACCTTGGCGACGAACATCTCGCTGCACATTTACTGAGGAGAAAAAGAAATAATTAAGTAGAGTTTCCTGACAATTTTTTCCGGGCACCAGTTCTTCTCAAGTTGCATCAGGCATTGCAAGAGCACTGTCGGCTCTACAGCACTCCACTTTGTTCCGAAGCAGCCGTAGGATGTTTTGCGTCTCTGCAGTCATCAGTATGGGTTGAGGTGCCTCTCCGGCATCACTTTGTTTTTACTTAGGCCACACGCAAAGTGTTCAACCGCAGCATCCATGGCTGTAGCAACAACCTGAATCGTCCACATCGACAAGCGCAAATGAATTGAAGTTATCTTCAGTGGCTTCACCAATGTGTCTGCAAGCACATTGGTGTTCTCCTGCAGTGATCTGCTGCAGTGATCTCCTGCAGAGATCACTGCAGCTCTGGGAATCATGCGCTGGCTCAGCAAGTGCACGAGAAAATACGATGCGCACAAAGCAGTTAGCAATCTCCGAATAACAGCCTTGCACCCTCTGCACGTAAAACTGCCTTGAACCTGTCCAGTATGTCTTGCCTGTTCTGCAAGAGGGTCGACAATATCGAAATGTGCCGGAATATAAAATTCCTCGACGAGTTTGAACCTGGGCCAGCCACTTTTGCTTTCGGTAAACACTCCTGTTCGACGCACGCTCATGTATGTTGCAGGCGTGCATCAGAGGCTCACGAAGGGATGATCTTCTCCGGGCCCCTTCGCTTCCCTGACCCAATTCCTTCAAGAGTCGGGTCGCGGTTGCCATACATAATGTCGGAAAGTGGATGCTGCTCTCTGGTTGCATCAGCACATTGAAAGCGGCGCTCTACCCTTTCACCCATTTGTAGTTTTTTGTTTGCTGTTTGCCTTGGCAGAGGAGGGAGAGGGAATGCAAGGGTCTCCCATGCACCTCCGAATATTAGGCATGCATGCTTTCAGCACCCTGGCTTTTGTAATAAGCGTGGTTGGTTGCCAATATTCTTCGGTGCATTTCAATCGGGACTATACTGAACTACGAATAAGGCGATAATTCGAATAAAGTGATTTTGTTATAACGAGAAACTACTGTACTCCCATGTGCCCTCGTCCCTTCCTGTCTTGCGCAGACATTGTTTAGTGTCCCTTTAAACGGACACGGAGGTAATTTTGCGAGCTCAACTTTATGGTTGTGACATGCAGCGGCGGTTTTTCAAACAATGCAAACCAGGTTCTAGTTCCCATGTACATTTTCTTTCCTCATAAATCGAATAAGGAGGAAAGGAATTGATCCGTGACAACTTAGCTATACTCCGCGACAACTTTTCTTGGCAATGCAGTGGAAGGTACAGACCTGCGTTCCTTCTCATTTTGAGTGTGCGCGGGCTCTCCTCCTCTCCCTGGAAATAAGGAGAAAAGGAATTCATCCGTGACAACTTAGCTATACTCCGCGACTTTTTTTGGCAATGCAGTGGAATGTACAGGCCTGCGTTCCCTCTTCCATTTTGAGTGTGCGCGGGCTCTCATCCTCTCCCTGGAAATAAGGAGAAAAGGAATTCATCCGTGACAACTTAGCTATACTCCGCGACAACTTTTCTTGGCAATGCAGTGGAAGGTACAGGCCTGCGTTCCCTCTCATTTTGAGTGTGCGCGGGCTCTCCTCCTCTCCCTGGAAAGAAGGAGAAAAGGAATTCATCCGTGACAACTTAGCTATACTCCGCGACTTTTTTTGGCAATGCAGTGGAATGTACAGGCCTGCGTTCCCTCTCCCATTTTGGGTGCGCGCGGGCTCTCCTCCTCTCCCTGGAAATAAGAAGAAAAGGAATTCATCCGTGACAACTTAGCTATACTCCGCGACAACTTTTCTTGGCAATGCAGTGGAAGGTACAGGCCTGCGTTCCCTCTTCCATTTTGAGTGTGCGCGGGCTCTCATCCTCCCTGTTTCCAGGGAGAGGAGGAGAGCCTGCATACACTCAAAATGGGAGAGGGAACGCAGGCCTGTACCGTCCACTGCATTGCCAAGAAAAGTTGTCGCGGAGTATAGAGAGGGAGAGAAGTGTTGAAAAGAAAGGAAGCATGGAACTTATTAACCACACCGTCGATTGGGGGCAAGACTTGGCTATAGTGCCTGGAACGCGTCTCCGACCCGTGTGTTTGCTATGTCCAAAAAAGTGGTCCTTCGATTTCCGCCTGATGATGTCGTAGAAGTGTAATACTGTCGCCGGTCGCAACCCTGGCGACGTCCCAACAGCTGTAGTGTATCTGGCAGACGCCTTTTTTCGCTGCAGGTCACTCTAGTGTGGCAGTCCACTGTAGCTTAGGCAGCCAGAAGTTGGGACGCCGTGACGACAGCAACACTCGCATTCAGTTGTGCTACCTGCAGCTTCTCGTTGGCATTTCTACGGCCAACTGCCAGGATCGCGACATGCAACAGCATGACACTTCAGCTTCTGTAACATCATTTGTTGCCACTTCGGGACCACTTTTGAAGTATGGGAAGCATAGGACGCTAAACGCACCAGTTGAAGATGTGCTATAGGCACTATAACTTAGCCACTCCAATGTTAGCTGGCTTCCAGTCCAGTGGACCAACTCAAGTTTTCTTTTGTAAATAAAGGAAGGGGCATTTAGCCACTTGAGATTATACTATTCCTGTATGATGTATGGTGCTGTTGGTACAAAAGAACAGAAATGTGGATTGTAATCCGTACTCCGTGCATTGCAATATCTGTTTTTGAAGTCTTCACATCATGTCCTGAGACAGTTGAAGTGGCTAAGCTCACTTGAAATGTCACATCTTGTATTGAGTAGACACTTAGGTTTTAATGGTCGTTGCCTGTAGTAATGTATGTGTGCTCATGTATGTTATCTGAAGGAATGTTCCTTTTAAAATGCTGTCAAAAAAACAAAGAAACAGCATGTGTTGAGCTTTAAGGAAGTGAGAAACTCCACTTCTCTCAGAATTTCTTTAGGGTGGCTTATTCACTCTGGAAGGTCTAGAAGCCCCCGACTGTGGTCGAGTACTGTGAAAGATAGTTGCTAGCTCCTACCCCCGAACATATAACTGTTGGTCATGCGGTGAACTGCTCTTGCAGGGACGACGTCGACGTTGGCCCCATCTTGGAAAACGTCGCGAAAGTGGGACGCTTTTCGACCATGGTCATGCTTCTTGGCAAAGAAGACCAAACTCGTAAGCTCACTCCTCTTATGCTCTGCCCCTAGGCTTTATATTCAGTGGCACCCAAGAAACAAGAAAAACCTAGAGCAGATTGAGGAATCTAGTCTTACTTGAAAAGTTTGAGTTCGACCAAAACAGAGCCAAGTGGCATACATAATTGTTCAGAGCTTGTGTGCTCTGGGCGCGACGCGCCAGCCGGGCAGACAAAGCAGACGAGGGTAGACGAAGCAAACCCACAACGTTTATTACCCTAGTATCAAGTGGCGAAAAGTCCCCGCGTCTCGCGGCGCACGCGCTTATCTAGATCACGGTGCGCTCCTGGCGCCATCTCTTGGTCTCCCCTACATCTCCCCCCGGAGCTCGTTACTGCACTCTAGTTACACAGTTCGAAAGAAAGCGATGTTTACAAGTCCAACCGTCTTGGTGGCTTGATGGCACGTCCATAGCGTGATCTTGTAACACCTTGCGGGGAAGATGCACGATCCAGAGAGGGTGAAGAGCAGCCCGCAGTGGGCAACTCCCCAGGCTGACCTTCTTCGGGTGGTTGTCCTGGAGGCTCTTCGGCAGCAGGAAGCTCGACAGACTCCCTCGCAGTAACGGTCGACGAGAAGGGCACCAGGTGCCGGCGGTTTCGCTGTAGGATTCCCTTGGGAGTCTCTACGACGTACGACCGTGGTCGTTGGGCAGGGCTCAGGACGCGTGCTTGACAGCTGGCATCCGTGACCCAGACGCTGTCACCTGGCTTGAGAGGATTAAGAGAGTGAGCGTTGTGCCGGCGATTGAAGTCTCTCGCCTGCCGGACCTTATTCCTGGAGTCTTGAGCCCGGAACCTCTCGTGGCTTGGCTGAACTGGTGCGAGTCGCTGCGGCAGAGCAGGAAGACGCGTCTGTAACCGCCGACCCATCAGCAACATGGCAGGAGAGACTCCCGCGACGCCCGGAGTGTCCCGGTAGGTGAGAAGCGCTAGGTATGGGTCTTCGGACTTGTACAAAAGATCCTTCACCGTGCGCACCATGCGCTCTACTGCGCCATTACTCTGCGGGTACCGAGGGCTACTGGTCTCATGTTCGAAACCGTATGACAGAGCAAAGTTTGCGAATTCCTGTGAAGCAAACTGCGGACCATTGTCTGTCCGTACAACGTCCGGTATCCCATGTCGGGAAAAGCAGCTCTTGATAGCCGCGATAACCGCTGAGGCTGACGTAGAGCTCAAGGAGACGACTTCCGGAAACCGAGAGTAATAGTCCACCATGAGAACATAATCACGGCCTTTCAGCTGAAACAAGTCGATGGCTAGGCGTTGCCATGGCCGATCTGGTGTAGGCGTTGACATCAAGGGCTCCGAGTGTACAACCCTTGTTTCCGCACACTTGTCACAGCTGGTGACCAAATGTTCGATGTGGCTGTTGCAGTTAGGCCACCAGACGCTTTCTCTGGCTCTCTCCTTACAGCGGCGAAGTCCTTGATGGCCGTCGTGCAGAAGGGCCAGGACTTTGCTACGCAGAGCAGCAGGAATAACGAGGCGGCAGTCCAGCAGAAGAAGGTCCTCCGAGACTGTCAACCTTCCTCTCTCTTTCCAATACGGCACCAAGTTGGGAGGCAGCTTCCTCTTGTCTGGCCATCCCTCTTGGCAGTAGCGGACGACGAGAGAACATTCTCCATCTTCAGCTTGTCGACGACGAACCTCTTCCAGCCTGTTAGCGAGGGGAGGTGGAAGACCTTTAAATATCTCGCTAGCGAAAATTTCGACGGAGAATACTGTAGAAGAAGACCGGACATCGCAAGGGGCACGTGACAGCGTGTCCGCCGTGGCAAGAAGTCTACCTGGTACGTGCCGAACGTCGAATTGGTAGCGCATCAGCTTTATGCGCATTCGCTGAATTCGCGGTGGCAGCAACTCCAGCTCCTTTTTTCCCAGCAGGGCGACGAGAGGCAGGTGATCTGATTCCACGGTAAAACTAAGCCCACGCAGATACTGGTCGAACCGAAGAACAGCCCAGGTCACGGCGAGAGCTTCCTTTTCTGTCTGACTGTAGCGTGCTTCAGTCGGAGTCAAGGACCTTGAAGCGAAGGCCACAGCACGACGAGCTCCGGACGGCTGATCTTGCAGCAGTACCGCTCCCAGGCCAAATGAGCTTGCATCTGCGGACAGTATCGTAGGATAGCGTGGATGGTACTTTGCCATGCAGGTTTCCGAGCTCAGCATAGCCTTCAACCGCTTGAACGAGTCGTCTTGGCTTGCTCCCCAGGACCATGCGCTTGACTTGTTGAGAAGTGAACGGATGGGGGCAGTTACGTCCGAAAGGTGCGGCAGGAAGCGTCCAATGTGGTTCACCATCCCCAGTAGACGGCGAACGCCTGCAACGTCCGTTGGCGGAGGTAGCTCCCGAATGGCTCGAAGCTTGTCGGGATCCGGCGAGATGCCATCTCCATCGACGACGACTCCGAGGAACTTGACCGAGGGAACCCGGAATTCACACTTCTGCTCGTTGAGCTTTACCCCGGCTTGCTCAAGTCGTCGGAGTACCTCAGCAAGGCGTTGATCGTGCTGTTCAAGGTCTCTACCGTAAACAAGGACATCGTCGATCATATTCACGACGCCAGGCAACCCCTCCAGGACCCGTGACATTTGACGTTGAAAATATTCGGGTGCAGACGCCAGACCAAATGGCAGACAACGGTAGCAGTAGCGACCAAACGGCGTGATGAACGTCGTTAATTCTTCGCTTGCGTCCATGTTCAGAGCTTGTGTCGCTGAGCTTGATTTGGTGGAAACTGGAGGTCGCGTCGAGTTTTGAAAACACTTTGGCCTCGCCTAGCTGCCCCAGGATCTGGTCAACCGTCGGCAGGACGTATCGCTCCCGCTCGATGACTTGGTTTAACTTGGTCAGGTCGACGCACAGCCTGTACCCACCCGACGACTTGGGGACGACGACAAGTCCGGAGCACAATGCTGTCGGCTTGTCAACCCTTCTGATGACACCTTGAGCTTCCATGGCATCAAGTTCTCTCTTGATGACGTCGAAGAGCGGCAGCGGTATTCGTCTTGGAACGCTCAACGAGTACGGCTGAGCCCCTGACTTCAGACGAATGGTGTACTTTTCTTGGAGTTCGCCCAGTCCTTTAAAGATATGGGCGTCATGAGATGGAACACAGCTGACACGAGCGTCGGAAGACGGGACACGTCCATCCGTTTTTCCAGACTCGGCGGAGGTGGTGTTCACAAACTTGACCACGCCGAGAGCTTCTATCGCAGGTAACCCTAGAAGCGGTGTAGTTTGAGCCCGCATGACGTAAAGCTGTTGGACGGTGCGCTTGTCCTTCCACGCCAGAGTAGCTTGGAAAGTGTCCAAAACAGGCAGTGGCTGGTTCCCCGGGCCGATAAGCTCTCCTTCCACTGCGTTGAGCTTGCGAGGAACGCCTGGAAGCGACGGCGGAACGACGGTGACGTCTGCTCCCGAGTCCACCTTGAACCTTGTCACGTGGCCGTTGACGCTTACTTCGACGTATCTTGCCCGTTGCGTACGAACAGAGCAGAGTTCGACGGAGCCCAACTTCTCCTTGCGCTTCTTCGCGCGACAAACTTCTGCAAAATGACCTTGCTTTTTACAGAAATTGCAAGTTGCCTTCCGTGCTGGACAATTCTTGCGGTCATGCGCAGAACGCCCACAATTGCCACAAACTGCGTTGTCCAAACGCTGCTGCCGGTTACGTGCGCGCGACGACGGAGCGGATGACGCAGTCTTTTTCTTCGTCGCGTCGACGTTCAAGGCCGCTGCAGCTTGCGCCGAACGAGAAGCGCGCTCCCTCTCAGCATCTTCGAGCTGGCGGGCTTATAAAAGTGCTTCGTCAGCGGTGAGTCGTGTGGAACGGCACAGCTGGTCCGATAGCTTCTCGTCCAATAAGCCGACTACGAACTTGTCACGCACTAGGCGGTCTTCTATCTCGGGGCTGTTATAGTTGCAGCGTCTGATTAGGGTTCGAAGCTCCGTAAAAAACGCGTCGACTGTTTCCCCAGGCTGCTGAGTCCTGCGGTGAAATCTTCGGCTTTCGTAAATTTCGTTCGCCGGATGAACGAAGTGTTGAGTCAGCCTCTCCTTGACGGCGGCAAACGGTTGCGTCTCCGGGGTTGGCACACCAAGCGAAGCTAGTACAGTACGAGCTTGCGGACCCATGCAATAAAGCAACGTTCTTACTTGCGTTTCGTCGCTTGCAGAACGTAGACCGGTGGCGAAGGCGTAGTCCTCGTAGGTTTGAATCCACGTTGTCCATTCGCCTGGGCTCGTGAAGACGAACGGCGACGGCGGTTGAAGCCCCGTGGCCCCGAGGTGGACGCTCTTTTCTTCGTCCGGCATGGCGGTAGCGCTGACTACGAGCAGGTGTACCCCACTCCTGACACCATGTTCAGAGCTTGTGTGCTCTGGGCGCGACGCGTCAGCCGGGCAGACAAAGCAGACGAGGGTAGACGAAGCAAACCCACAACGTTTATTACCCTAGCATCAAGTGGCGAAAAGTCCCCGCGTCTCGCGGCGCACGCGCTTATCTAGATCACGGTGCGCTCCTGGCGCCATCTCTTGGTCTCCCCTACAATAATGATGTGCTACCTTTTGGCATAATTTGACATTCCAAAATGTTTGCACACACGCGAGCCATCACTAGGCTACCAGACGCTGCAGCCCTTGTGCCCTTCCACTTTACCCTTTCCTCGGAGCTCGGTGCCGCAATATTGCTATACTTCGTTCACTCCTCGGCTGACAGTGCAGCATAAGCTTCATGCTTGTCAAATCAGTTAAGCACCTATCTCTCGCATTTCGAACACGCTTTCTCCCATACCCACGCGCATAGAATGGGGTCAGGTGATGAAAGAGAGGTGGTTGATTGGTCCGGCAAGCAAGTAGCTTTGACCACAATATCAGCTGAGAGGTGAACAGGGTTTACTCTCTGCGCAAGCAGTGGATGAACTTGCTCTCTGTTTTGGTTGACCTTTTGTCATGATTAGAGATCAAACCTTGCTTCTGAAACATGTCAAATATAAGCAAAGGACATATTAAGTCTCCATCCCAGCAAATGGAGGAGCTCCTTTGCGTCACTTGCCTCTCAGGGAAGGCAGTGAAAAGAATGTAAGCTCAACGAGAGCGGCACAGGTGCTTTAAAGATGAGAGGTCCTGCCAGAAAGCCATTCTGCTATGCTCCTTGAGAAGTTCAAGGCAAACTGTGGCCCATCCTACCTTGTGGCTCTTCTGCTTTTATGCTCTCGGGCCTAGCAAATGCTTATCTGATTTTTTGTGATTATTTCGACCTTTGCATGGGGGCTTGCCGGGGTCTTATGGTATATATTCGAATAAATACGTTATCCCAACATTAACTTCGCTGAAGATGCAATGTTTTTCTTTTCAAGGGCTCCAGTTCTTGATCGACCACACGGTGTTGAAGAGCAAGACCTGCGATCTGGACACATTGCGTGCGGCCTACAGCGTGCATTGATGCAAGCACCTCGAAAGCAGCTGTGCTATCTGGATTGCAGGGGCATTAAATAGAGTGGTGCTGTTTCCCTTGCACTGAATGAAGAATTGTCATCCAGCGTCTATAGAACATTACAACATTGTACAATTCATCATGTCTCGTTTCAGTAAAAAAAGATAGCTTCTACCCGCTGGATTTGTTTTGTTTGGTACCAGTCAAATAGCTCTGCTAGTGCCCCGACATGTTCCTTTAGAGCAGTGGTTATCAAGCACAAATGTGTTCGGCGACCACTTAGGGACCTGTCAAGGGGATAGGGGACCTCATACCAGTGAGAGAAGGGGAAGGGAGGGGGGAGGGTATAAAATGAGAACTAATTGCAGTGTGAAAGGGGCATCCTTTACTGTTTTAGATAGTAGTGAGAAGCATCAAGTGAATGGATGGATAGAGGGTAACGGCTGTTCCTTGATTACAGGTGGTAGCTTGAGCCAGCTAGCAAGGGTGAACAAAACACTTTTTTATTTCAAGAAAAGGGGGGCACTACTGCATGCATCGAGAACCATGGAAGTGTGTCCCTCCAAAATAAGTGGCACCTCTGTGGAGTCATTCATGGAGCTACCGAAGTTCTATGTCACCTCCACTGTAGTGACGTTCAACAACAATGCATAGATCCAGAAAAAAGGACTATGCATAGGCTCATGCGTAGCACCAGTTCTGTGTAACATTTTAGCCCAATGAGACAAGAACATAGCCCAGAAGCTTCCAGCAAACCTGGTATCACGTGTGTTCAGATATGCTGATGATAATCTTGTCCTGCTGCATGAACGACCTGAACAAAATGACTCAACTGTAAACAATATTTACACCACGTTCCTTAGTCAATCTCAGGGACTAAGGTTTACCCATGAGCTACCAGATGAAAGCAAGCTTCAATTCCTGGATCTTCAGCTTTCCTTTGAAGACAACCATACATGTTGGACATACAAACCACGGTCCAAAAAATCACTTCTACTATTTGATTCGGTCCATTCTAAAATAATCAAGAGAGAAATTGTAAAAAGCAGCTTCATAGCAGCCCTGCAAAAATCATGCGAGCACACAGCCAAGCAGAGTTTTGAGGCACAAGTTCAAAAACTACATGAATCTGGGTATACCAGTTCTTTAATGTTCAATGTAGCAGAGAGCCTGACCACTCACAATGAAAGAAGAAGAAGAGATAAGACACGGCGTCCGGCAGTGATACCCTGCCAACATAAACTATCACAGAACTTGAAACGAATAGCGTCTTAATATGACATACAGGTTGTAACAGCTCCTGACAAACTTGGAAAACTGTGTCCAAAAATCAACTACCAGAACGAAAGACAGGAACACTGCTCAGTCCAGCACGCACATAAATATATCAACTGCAACGTCAACATCATTTACGAAATTCTGTGCACATGTGGGAGAGAGTATGTCGGTCAATCTGGGCGCTGCGTAAATGCACAACTACAAGAGCATGATCTTTCCCTACATGTGTCACCATCAGGACACTTGGCCATACATGCCAGAGACCATAAATGCACTCCTCTATTCAATCAAAGGAAAGTACTCAAATGCTTTCGGAGCAATAGAGCCAGAGAAATTTTTGAGGCAAGTATAATAGAAAAAGGAGACACGTGCATTAGCACATCATCAATTTCACTCAGAAAAAGAGATAGGATACCTCAACCTTTTTTCTTAATCTGGGTGCTTTTCTTTCTTTTCATTTTTCTATCAGTCCCTTAATTTTGCTAATTTTTTCTTAAATAATTTTTTAATCATTTTACGCGGGAATACAATTTGCAATTTCATTTAATAAATCTTATTTTCGTCTTTCTCTTGTCAGGCATTAAACAATCAGTTGTTAGTAAGCCCTTGTCCTGTTCATTCTTTGTTCTCTCCTTGTCCTTTGCTTTTGTAATTAAGATGTTCACCATTATAATGAATTCCCGTTTAATAAAAAATGAGACGTTTACAAATCCCTAATGCAAAACCAGAGCGCAGCTTTTGGTGAGTGTACAGAGGGGGGTATGCCTCTCCTCTGTACCCTCCCCTCCTCCTCCCCTTGCCTCATCCTTTTCTCCTCTTTTCCCCTCCTTCACTCCACTGATCAAAGGTTCGCAGAGCGCTAGGAGGAGGGGATGAGGAAGAGGAGAGGGTAGGGAGAAGGAGAGTATGCCCCTCCTCCTCCTTCATACTCTTTCCTCCTGTCCTGCTCCTCGTCCTTCCCTTTCATACTCCTCCTTCCCCCTCCTCCATTCTTCCTCTTCCTCATTGTCCTCCGTACCCTCCCCTTCCACTCCTCCGCACGAGACGTCAGTGTTTCCACCGCATCTAGCGGAGAAACTAAATTTGTTCATAGGCAACATGACACCAAGTCATATGATGTCATTTTCCCCGCTAAATTTAGTGGGGAACCTGAACTGGCGTTGAGGTCATGTGACGTCAACTTCCCCGCTAAATTTAGCGGGGAATTTAATTGCTACGGGAGTGAGTTGAGCTAGTTGGTTATAATACGTTATGGGTGGAACCAGCTGAACATTTAAGGAATTGGAGACACAGAAAAGACCACCAGCAAATGGTTGTCTTTTCTGTGTCTCCTTCCTTAAATGTTCAGCTGGTTCCACCCATAATTTAATTGCAGTCGAGTTTCACGTGATGTTAATTTTGCCACAAAATCTAAAGGTGAAACTAAATGTGTTCATAGGTGACGGGAGACCAAGTCATGTGACATCATTTTTCCCGCTAAATTTAGCACAGAAACTGAATTGGTGTTGAGGTCATGTGACATCAATTTTACACCTAAATTTAACGGGGAATAGAATTGCTCTCGAGGTCACGTGATGTCAGTTTTTCCTGCTAAATTTAGTGAGGAGTTGAGTTGCTGTCGAGGTCACCTGACATCAATCTTTCTGCTAAATCAAGCTGAGAAACTGGATTCGTTCATAAGTGACGTGACAAGTGACGCGACGTTGTTATCCCCGCTAAATTTAGTGGGGAAACAGAATTGGTGTTGAGGTCACATGACGTCAATTTTCCTTCTAATTTAGCCGGGAATTTAATTGCCGTTGAGGTCGCATGATGTCAACTTTCCGCTAAACCTAGCGGAGAAACTGAATTTGTTCATAGGTGACATGACACCAAGTCATGTGACATTTTTTCTGCTAAATTTAGCAGGGAAACTGAATTGGCGCTTCGGTCACGTGACATCGATTTTTCCACTAAATTTAGCAAGAAATTGAATTACTGTCGAGTTCATGTGATGTCAATCTTCCCACTAAATCTAGTGGAGAAACTGAATTGTTCATAGGCAACGTGACACCAAGTGGTGCGACATCACTTCCTCACTAAATTTAGATGGGAAACTGAATTGTTGTTGAGGTCACTTGATGTCAATTTTCTGCTAAATTTGTCGGATTGAAATTTTTTTCGAGGTCATGTGACGTGAATTTTTCTGCTAGTCTAGTCGAGAAATGGAATTGTTCATAGGTGACGTAACATCAAGTGAAGCAACGTCAATATCCCCGCTAAACTTAGTGGGGAAACTGAACTGGTCCTGAGGTCACATGATGTCAATTTTTCTGCAAAATTTTGCGGGGAATTAAATGGCTGTGGATACCACGCAATCTCAATTTTTCCGCTAAATCTAGCGGAGAAACTAAATTTGCTTATAGGTGATGGAATACCAAGTCATGTGACGTCATGTTCCCTGCTAAATATAGCGTAAAAATTGCATTGGTGTTGAAATCACATGACGTCAATAATCCCCGCTAAAATTAGCGGAAAATTATATTGGGTGATTTCAGCTAAGATCGACCAAAGGATGGCTAGTCGACATTTTCAAATCAACTGATGTTTTTATATGTTATTGTCTAGTGTCTGGTATGAACGAATCCAAACTTAGTTTTGACTAGAAAAAATACTTGGGGACAGGAAAAATCGTAAGGCATGAGGTGGTGGACAGTTGCATTAACGCGCACTGATGGAGGGGCCCGTTTGAGAGTGAATAACTAAAGCGATAACATTAGGAGAACTCTAATACGTTTTAGGCGCAAACTATGGGTATAGCTTGCTTGTAATATAAAGTAATCATATTTACTTAAAATTTATTTATTTTTCTAAAAATTGACAAACATGCCTGCTCGAACGACAAATGGCAACCTTTGGAGGTCTGTATCTCATGAAATAATTTAATAATTATGATATAATTTGCAGATATTATTCTACTAATATATAGCTAATATTTAAAAAAATAACTAAGGTATCTGTGTGATACAATAGTTAGGATATATTTAGTCAAACATGGAAAAAAAATCAAACAAAAAAAAATTCCGATGCGAATAAAAAAAAAAAAACACCACCCTCGATTTTTTTAAAATTTAGGTAACCTGTTATACTCTATTTCGGCATTCATTTCCATTAAAAACATGTTGCATCATTTTATTGAGAAAGAAGATACAACTCCCCAAAGTAGGGTCCTTTTTCAAAGCCTACTTAGCAGTGTTTTATACAAGAACTGACTCTGAGTTCCAGTTTCATGAAACCAACACACATCTTTTATATATTTTTATTCAGATGAGGCCAATGATAACTAAAGAAATCGTTCACACACTTAAATTAAGGAGAAACTACTGTGTACAAAGAGGTATCATATTACGGACTAGTGATCCGAGAAAAGATCATGCAGCCATCGGCCACTAGGAACTTTGTTTACTTTATTCTCCTGCGACACTATATGCTATTCCCTCTTCCGCTCTACCTTCATCTCTCTCTCTCTCTCTCATATATATCCCTGATATATATCTAGAACAAAAACATGTTCAAGCATTCCCTTTCTGCGTGGTAGTGTTCTGTGGCTAGCAAAAATCATTTCCTCGCTAAGCTCACGATTATGGCAAAATAGTTGCCGGAAACCGCAGACGACACTCGTCGCTAGTTCTGGCAAAACGGCCGATACAATCTTTTTTTCGCATTTCCCCGCTCGCTGTCAAGGACAAGGGGGTTCGCTTCAACCAACAAAACATGGCCGCCGACGCCTGTTTACTGAGCAGTCATGCCTGTCGCCATCTCACTCGCTGGCGTCACGGGCGATAATATCAGGCACAAAGGGGCACACCAACCGGCAGCATTATCCCCAAATACTCGAGCCTCGCGTAAATACATAG